TCCATTTTTCACATAAAAACAAAAAGCTCTTTTTAGTGGACAACATATTTCCGGGTCATCACTTTTACATACAAATATGACAATAGTTATACATTCATGTATGCATACTTAATTCTATTATTACCTTTTCCATTTCAAACTTTCAGAAAGTAGAGAAACAAGCAAATTAATCCTAGTCTCTTACATTAATCTCAATCAAAACATCTTTTCGTTTCATTTCAATTATTTCAAATATAATCTTTTAATATTTATTTTAAAAATAAAAATAACAGTATGTTTGCCTAATAAAAAAAGTTACCAATGTCTCTCCTTCCTTTTAATAGTCTGTATTAGTTTATTAATTTAAATAGTTCTTTAATCTGTCATATTTTCTTTCCATCACACATTCTTTCTATAGATTCTAGATTAATAAAAGTTTTAACACAAAAGAAAAAGAAAAAAGTATAGGTTTCCCCCCTTTTACTGCTTTGAGTGTGACACCTCAGTGGTTAAAATATCCCTTTATTCCCTCGTCTTAATTCCCAATAAGCCATTATTTTTAAATAGTTACAATAATAATCATTACATCTTTTCGTTTGGATTCCGCAACATATTTTTCCCCCTTAATTTTATTTCTAATTTCAAAAGAAGTAAAAGGGAAAAAATTGACTATTCAATTTCTGGTCGCTGATATTGACCTCATTTTTAAACATCTTTACATCCATTTCAATTATTACAATTTCTTCAATAAACCTTAACTTTTTTTTTAGAATAAAAATAAAGATATATATTCATCTAATAAGAATTATCAGTATCTATCCCTCCTTTAATAATCTATATTACCCTATTTTCTAAGTATTTTTTTTAATTGCAAATATATTCGTTACCCCTTGTCACCCTGCAGAATCCCTTTTTAATTCATCAACCATTATCTCTGAACAAACTATTTCTTTTCATCATTTTACTATTTCCGTAGTTCTTTATTTCATGCACCTGTTTCTTACTGCCTCTCCTCCCCCTCTTTTCCCCATATCTTTTCTCATTCCAGTTTATATCTTCCTTTTCCTTTTTCTGCTGGGTGTTTCTGCCTTTCCTGATTTCACAGGTATTCCCCTTTTTGATTACCTTCTTAAATCTCAACTTTTTAACCTTCCTTCTTTCCCTACTTCTTTGTAGTGTTCTTTGTGTTAATTGTCTATTTAAGATGGCTTCTCCTTGAATCGACTCCTCTTCCTCTGAAGCTCTTTCTTCTTGTTCTTCAATCATCATTTCCATTTCTTCTAACACAGATCAAAGTGATTCACCTCTTTCCTGTAGTAGTTCTCTCATATTTTTAAGTTCCATTTTTAATTCGCGAAGAGATATCATCATTACACACTCTTATATTTTATTATCATTGAAGTCCACAAAAAACACTTTTACTTTCCTTCTTTCTTCTTCCAGTTTTCTAAAGTTCTCAGTTGTTCCAGCCCAGGGTCTATACCAAAAACATCAATCAATCCCACAGTCAGTCTTTCCTTGCTTCTTTCTTTATTCTGGTTCAGCTTTCACTTTCTAAGATTCTTACTTTGTTTCAATATTTCTTTAACATTATATCAACAAAAGTTCATACAGAAACAGGATACTTTCCCTTTTGTTTGAGTTCAAGTTTTTGTCAAAAGGTGGCACTCTCCATTATACAAAGTCCTAACCTTTTTCCCCTGTTTTTTTATTTAGGGTTTTTCGAACCTCAATATTCCAGCACAATCCAGTCTCCAATTTGTAATTTTTATTATTATTATTTTTTGACAATCTTAACTCCAGCTTTATTTTATGCTTGTTTATTGCCGAAATATTTTGGTCCAATTTAATTAAGTCTTTAGTTCTGGCTTCTTCCTTTCCCAGTTCGAAGCCCCGCTTAGCTGTCAAAATTATTTTTTTATTTTTTTTCCTGTCCCTTTGTATTTCTGCTGCTCACTTTTCTTTTCTTAAAAGTTCAATGTTACCTTAATCCCGGGGTACTTTTTGTTTAGTTGTTTCATCCAATTGTCCCAGTTCAGATGTTATCCACATCTTTCTTCCCTCTTGCACAAATCTTAGTCCAGCTGAGTCCTCCTCTTTGGGGTGGCCATTTTAGACCACCGCTTCAGTCGTCTTTGGGGGGAAACGACCAAGCCCAGGAGGGGAGATGCGGCTCCTCTCAACCTGGCTTGCGGCTTCCCCTTACTCCACCACCCCTCCAAGGCAGCTTCAGCTCCTAATCGCAATGATCGGGGCTCTCCGTCGAAACAGCACGGACCATAGCCACGGACAGTCGCGATCTACAGTCCATCAGTGAGGAGGGCTCAACACGGAAGGCTGCTTTGTAAAAATTTAGACATCTTTAAACTTACCCTTTTGCAAGATCTCTTGCCTTCTTACAAATAAAGCCCTCAGCATCTGTTTTGTTGTAGTTCATAAAGCTTGACCTGAATTTTTCTGCATTTTGATTATTAAAACTTCCCTTCCCCAACTATCTCAGAAAGATCTGCTGCCTCTCCCTTGCTGGGAAACAGGGACAACCTTATCGCTGAAAGCTTACACACAGGTGACTGGTGTTTATAGTACAGAAGGGAAGGAAGGAAGCTTCCCTCTTCTGAAGGAGCCAACATGCCACTTCTCCATTCTTCAAGCCTTCTCAGGCTTAAAGATTGTCCTGCCAGTGCATGCAGATTAAAGTCCACTGCTCTTCCATAGCTATTGCAAAAAAGCAGAAGGGTAAAAGAAAGTTATGGGGCTATGCTGGGAATCCTCTATTGCTACCCACTTGGGGTAGAATACAGCAACCTACCGCCAGTTACAGAGAAATCCAGCATTGTTAGCCAATCTCCTAGTGTATTGGGTATCTTGCTTTTTTGGGGGAGTAACACAGCTGAGGAGCGGCCACCCGCTCTTCTGTGCTAATCAGCTGGCACAATAAAAGCCAGTAGTGCGCAGGGCTGGGGGGGTGGTGGCCCCACATGATTGTTGCAGCGAACCGGTTTGGGGACAGCTGACCTTCGGAGCAACCGGTCCGAACTGGCAGAATCCCACCCCTGCTTATGCAGTTCATCAGTAGTTGAGTTCAACTGGATTCTCTTTTAATCCAATAACAATTGAGTGTCATCAAGCAAGCTTTGGTTGAAGATACCAGACAATATAAGGAGGTGCTGCTTTCTAGTAATAGTTGCTCTTGCAAACTAGTAGCCACAAGCACAGGTGGGCCAGAGGAACTGACCAGGATTGCACTATGTGCTACCTGCCAAGCACTACAGATACCTTTCTTCAAACCCTGCAGGAATTTTTGTACCCTTTTTTTAATCTTTTGTATGTTTTTCTCATTTCTCAGGTTTGATATACTTATAAAACGACATTAGATCCTTATGGTTTTGAACTTGGTTAGTTGGGAAAGAAATTCCAGGTTGTTTCCCATAAGTGATTCACTCTTGTTACCCATTTTGGGTTATTCTTTGAATTAATATAATTTAAGTAATTATATAGGCATTACTCTACTGTTTATGAAATGTAACTGATCATACATAATAGATATATATGTATAACTGAATTGCTGAAATTATGTATTAAATAGCATGTGCTTCTTACTGCTAAAAATAGTAGGGCAGATAGGCTTACTAAAGGCCATCTTGAATTCAGCCATATTATTTTTGTGTAGTCCAATCACAAAAGCTTTCACATAGGCAAATTCATGAAATTTGGGAGTTGTGATGACCCAGGGTGGGATACAAAATAAACACAGTCACAAAAAACAGGTGAATCCCCTTTTATTCCTTCACTTTGCTTCCAAGCTCCAAATATCCTTGATTGGAGACAAAAAAACTCCCACACAAGCAGTTACAAGAAGGAGGAAATGCCGTTTAAATTATAAAACACAAACCAGGCAAGATAAGAGCTTGAAGATGTCCACAGATATCAGAACACACACTAGGAAGGACACCAAACTCAGAGAGAAACAATAAACTTGAGATATTTCCACGCTTTGTTTCCAGCACTGGCCCGTACCGCATGTCCGTCCTCTTATCCAGTTGTCACAGCTGCAGCCCATGAAGAGGATCAAGGCCCTCTCCTCCCCCATAGGCCACATCTCTCCCTTATCCTCTCCTCCCTGTGTGCCCTCGGATGGAGAGGGGATGGGCCTGGGTCCTCCTTTGACTGCCCAGCTGGCCTCTGCCCTTCCCCAGCCTCCTCCACAACTTCCGGAGCCACACTTCCACTCCCTGTCGGCTGTTTCTCCTCTCCCCCGGAGTCAGTCTCCACCAGGGGCATGACAGGAGTGTTGGGGAAGCTGTTTGTCTCTTTGGCCACCTTGGAGAATTTCTTTCTATTATTTGGAAGTCAAACAACTCTTTTATGAATAACAATAAAAAACAGGAACCTAAGAGAAAGTCTTGAATCAGAAATATTATTCATGACAGGAAAACATGGAACACATTAAAGCAACATGAGCTGCTCTGGAGGGCATTGAAACAGAACTAAGTGAATTTCTATAGTTTTTTTTTTGTTGTTGTTTTGGGGGTGGGGAGAAAGGGAAAAGTTTTGAGACATTTGAGCAAATGGCTCTTGACTATTCTAAGGCATCTTCTAGAAGAAGGCCCCGTCAGTATCCCGGCAAGCTTCTGTATCGTAAAGGGGGATCTTAATTCTTGTTCTCTCTTACCTGCAAGAGCCTTTTCCCAAGGGACTCTGTCCTGGGCCCAATTTTCCTTGTCCTGAATTCTGTGATTCTAACCTCACTGTAGAACATGAAAGAGCCAGGGCCGCCATCACCCCCTGCAGAAGGAAGGGTGCCCTTCCAGCAGAAAATCCGGGGAGCCTAGGAGCCCCTTTTGCTAAGAGCAGGTCTGGAAGCCATCGGTATTGAGGTAACAGGCATAGGAGTTTTGTTTCAATGTCAAGTAAGTTGCGTTGTTTTTAAAGTCAGGATGTTGTTTAGAGCTACAAGTATCAATGTCACTATTTTAGTAAGATACGTTTTTAATAATGTAATGCCCTTCATTAAATTCCAGGTTCAAGAATGGTTATGCTTAAACTGCCAAACTCAGAGGGCGCTATCAGGACAACTTGGGGATATAGAGAACGTCACACCTCCCGTGTTTCCAAAATCCTCAGTCAGACCATCAAGTCCTGCCCTTCGAAGTCGGTCCAAGGCTGCTGAGTTGCATCAACAACAACAACAGATTTCAGCAAAACCTGCCCTGGGGTCTGAAAAGTTAAAGACAGGTTCAGAAATTCAGAAAGAGGATCCAAAGGTAAAGAAGGAGACACTTTTAACAAAGACGTTTACTGGTAGGATCCAAGAAGAAATTTTTAAAATTGACATTTCAAAGCTTTCACCAGGAAAATTAGCAAAAACAACATCTGCTGATAAAATCATTCAAGGAATTTCAAAAGAAGATTCAAAAGCAGAAAAGGAAAAATTGGGAAAATCATCATCTGCTGATCCAATTCTTAAAAAAGAGTCAACATTGGCTACAATTGATAAGGGTTCGCATGATAAGATAAACATGGAACATGCGGAAAGACCTCTATCCGAAGACTCAAAATATCATCCGGTAAAACTGGCCAGGGAGGAAAGTCAGAAGGAAGACCCAGCCACTCAAGTCAAATTGCCACCTGCTGATCGGAGTCAGATGGACAGGGTGACCTTGGGAAAAATACCATCAGCTGATAAAATCCTCCAAGATGTTCAAAAGCCAGACCCAAAGATTTATCAAGACAAAATGACAAAGGTAGCCTCAGATGGCGAAATTGTGAAAGTTGAACCAAAATTTCAGCAGGCAAAATTGGCCAAAATACTATCTTCTGATCAAATTCAGAAAGAAGATTCAAAACGAATTCCAGCAAAAATAATGAAAACGGCCTCTGCGGATCAGCTTTTAAAAGACACTGTGAAATTTAAGGAACTAAAAGAAGTGAAATTGCCCCGGGAGGAACCAAAGTCTTCCGAGACAAGTAGCGGCCAAAGACCACCATTAGAAGCCTCAGACCCCCTCCCCAGAATCGAACACGTACCAGGACAAGAGCAAGCGCTTAAAGAAAAGCCAGAAGCTGAAATGCACCTAGAAATAAAACAGCAGGAAGATCATCCCATGATATCAGAAACCACTTCAAAAGCTCATAAACTACCGGAGAAAAACCTTTCAGATTTACCCGTGTCATTGCCAGAATCTTATCCTGTGGAGTCAGTGAGAGAAAAAACAGTAAGTGCTTGACATTCCTCTCTTGTCAGGAATTGACAAAATCTGTTTCTATGTCATGCCAGAAAAATTACTTGGAGATATTCATAGAAGCTATGCTTGATTGAAGGGGGTAATTTACAGCAGGGGGCAGCACTTAGTGAACCTTGGCTAATCTTGAAAAAAATAAGAGTTAGATATGGTTAGTTCCTGTATATAATCAAAGAGCAAGCCCTACTCTCCTCCAGCACTGATGATGTTACCTAGTTGGGTAACGAAATGTCTGCAAGGAAACAGGCAAGTTCAGAGACCCCTAAGGACATACAGTTCAACCCTGAGCTATAAATATTCTATTGGTACTTCAAAACAGAACTCTGCTGGCAATTTCTCACATATGCTGACCCAAATTTAACTTGCACCTTGCACAGTATAACTTCTGCCAAGTGACACTATTTTTATTTTGTAAACAGACAGATGAAATATAATAATTAAATAGTTCTGCTTCTCCCTGTTATTTTTTTTTTACCTATAGCCAATGTCTCCAAATCACAAACTTTCCTTTTGTTCCACACAACCTTCTCTGTTGTTAATTTTGGTGTTTATTGCAACCCTCAGCAAATCCTGAGCCTTCCTGTAGACTTGGACTATTTTCTAACATTATGCATATGTTATATGCTTTCCTTTCCCTTTGTAATGCCCATCCTTTTTGTTTCACAGCTTATCAGAGAACTCTGTGCTAGTTTCATCTCCTACTTTATTTTCTCTGTAGTGTTGTCTGTATTTGGGCTGTGATTGTCTTACTTTTGAGGCTTCCCCCACGCTCCTTAATATTTTTCTGGGAAGGATTTTCATTCATGGAATCCTTACTGCTTTTCCCTGATTAAAGCCAGCTATTCTGAGATTCAGAAGGCTAACTTGTGATGAGCCAGAGGCTTGAAGGACTTCACCTGACAACCAGCAGGCAGCCTGGAATAAGTCAGTGGTATATTTAGTGTTGCATTGGATTGTTCTACGTACTTATTACCATTTTATTGTTATAATATTTTTTTAAAGTAACTCAAACTAAATTAAACTGAACCCACAGTAAATTTAAAGATTGAAATAGTTTTGACCTTGACTCTTCTACATGCAGTTTATCTTCACTGAAAAGTGTTGTTTTTATCAGAGATGTTTGTAATGTTGTGCAACCTGAATTTTTCTATTGACTGAATGCGCACTGAAATATTCTTATACTACCTGTTAAATCTAAATAAGATGCTATTCCCATTAAGTATAGAGCCACACTTTAATGATATTGAGAATAAGTTATTTTCTATCTAATTAGGGAAAATGTAAGTCGTGGTGTTTTATATTGCTTAAATGCAAAATAAAAAGTTCTAGCTTAACCAAAATTTGTTACTCACAATGCTTTCTCAAAGTTTTCACAATTACAGTAATACTGGTTGGTGAATTTATTATTATCTTGAAAAGATAAGTCTTAATATGTGTCTGTATGTTTATATATGTTTTAGGAAAAAGAAGATGACAAATCTGATATATCAAGTTCTCAGCAGCCCAAAAGCCCTCAAGGCCTGAGTGATACAGGATATTCCTCCGACGGCGTCTCGAGTTCCCTTGGTGAAATTCCAAGCCTCCTTCAGGCGGAAGAAAAGGACGCCTTGTTGAAAGAGTCCTTTGAGAAAGAGTCTCCGTCGCAAGGGGGCAGCCCAGCTAGCCCCTCCGACCTGGCTAAGCTGGAAAGCACCGTCTTGTCAATTCTGGAAGCTCAGGTCACAAGCCTCGTGGAAGGGAAGCCTGGGAGAACCAGAGACGTTTCCGCTGAGCAGACCAGGGCCTCCCGGGAAGCAGCCCTCTTGCCTGTCACCTCGGAGCCCTTCTGCTCTGAGGAAGAAGGCTTGAGGAAACCAGAGGTTCGAGGTGAAGGAGACCCTGAGCAAGGCAGTAGAGAAACGTTGCCCCCTCAGAAAGGGCCCAAGCAGGCAGCAGGGGGGGCAGAGAGTGCACCAACCAGAAGGCAGCGCTGTGACTCTGTGGAAGACAGCAGTGAGAGCGAAAACTCTCCTGTGCCACGAAGGAGGAGGCGGAGGCAGGCCAGCGCTGGCTCCTCCAGCAGTGACGACGAAGGCAAAGTAGAAGACAGTCCGGGTTCAGGTGATGACGAGGATTTCATTCGGAAGCAAATCATGGAAATGAGCGCTGACGAAGATGCTTCCGGTTCCGAAGATGAAGAATACATCAGGAAACAGTTAAAAGAAATCAGCGCAAATGAGACCCAGAAGAAGGAAGAAGTTAAGATCAAAAAGGGAATGGCTGGAAAACATAAGAGGGCGTCACGTAAAAGCACTGCAGGCTATGAAGAGGATTCCGGAAGGCGCCATTCCTGGCATGACGACGACGACGATGAAGACGAAGATGAGGCTTTTGATGAAAGCCCAGAACCAAAATATAGGGAGACGAAAAGTCAAGAGAGTGAAGAAATTTCAGGGGGAGGAGGCCTTCGCCGCTTCAAAACAATAGAACTTAACAGTACAATCACAAACAAGTTTTCTGAAGGGTCAGAAACACCAAAGAGATGTTTATACTTTGATGAAGAGCCAGAATTAGAAATGGAGAGCCTTACAGATTCACCAGAGGACAGATCACGGGGAGAAGGATCTTCCAGTCTGCATGCCTCCAGCTTCACCCCAGGTACGTCTCCTACCTCTGTTTCGTCCTTTGATGAAGACAGCGACAGCAGCCCCAGTCACAAAAAAATGGGGGGAGAAACCAAGCAGCAGCGTAAAGCCAGACATCGGACACACGGGCCTCTCCTCCCGACGATTGAAGATTCTTCCGAGGAAGAGGAACTCAGGGAGGAGGAAGAGTTGCTGAAGGAGCAGGAGAAGCAGCGTGAACTAGAGCAGCAGCAAAGAAAGAGCTCTAGCAAGAAGTCTAAGAAAGACAAAGATGAGCTCAGAGCCCAGAGAAGGAGAGAGCGACCAAAAACACCCCCCAGTAACCTTTCTCCGATCGAGGACGCTTCCCCAACTGAGGAACTGCGTCAGGCGGCAGAAATGGAGGAACTGCATCGATCTTCCTGCTCTGAATATTCGCCAAGTATTGAATCTGACCCTGAAGCTTTTGAAATCAGTCCGGAAAAAATAATAGAAGTGCAGAAGGTTTATAAGTTGCCCACGGCTGTCTCGCTCTATTCCCCCACAGAAGAGCAGCCCCTTGGAATGGCCAAGCAAGGGAGCATTCGGAAGATTTTGAAAAGCGCAGAGGAGGTATATGAAGAGATGTTGCAGGCGTCTCAGGGGGCCAAGCCTCTTCCAGGTGAAAACGAAAGGGAGGAGGTGTTCGAGAAGGAGCCTTTGTATGGCGGCATGCTCATAGAAGACTATATCTATGAGTCGTTAGTAGAGGGTGCGTATAGTGGGGACTCCAACATCATTTCAAAACAAGAGGAGTGTGAGGAATTTAGCCAAGAGGAAGAGCAAAAAACCCCTCTGGAGCAAATCTGTGAAGAACCTATGCAAAAACCCACTGATTTACAAGACACCTATTATAGGATAGAGCTTTTGCATTCAATTATGCCTCAAGAAGACATTGTCTCCAGTTCTTACATCATGCCAGAAAGTCACGAAATCGTTGTCCTGGACAGTGTAGCACCATCTTCGAGTGATGATAAGCAGCTGCTAGAGGTAGGCGTGGTTTATGAAGAGCTGATGAAGCAACAGGGAGTACAGCTGACCCCGGGCTCCAGCCCTACCCAGTCATCCCCTGAGTTCGTTTCTGTCACCAAGAGGAGCCTGTCTGGAGAAGCAGGAGATAGTAACTCCCTAGTTTCGAGCACTTCTTCAGCAGTTTCAGACTCAACATCAGCAAGCCCTGTAGTGCTGCCCATTCCAGATGTTAAAATTACCCAGCACTTCACAGTTGAAGAAAAAGAGGGTAACTATTTTACTGATTATGTCCATGAGGTGGAAGAAATTATTTCCCAGGAAACGTCCATGCTGGCATACTCGGAGGCCTTAGAAAGCACCACCCCTATTTTCCCATCGGATGCATGTTCACTCACATCCTCTACATCTTCTGTTTACACCACTGGCACCCCTTCACCTGTAGCTGGACCAGATGGCATCACTACCATCTGTAGAGATTCAGTAGATGCTCTTGGTGGACTGTCAGATTCAGAAGGGGTCGTTTCAATGGCACAGGCTACTACAATTTCCCCAGTTGAGGACTATGAACCTCTGGTGTTGCCCCCCAAGAAGGCACCCATAGCCAAAGATCAGGGATCAGTTACCTTTCCAGAAACTGACTCCTTTGCATCCACTTCTGTGGAAACAAAATTCACAAGTATTCTCCCTGCTGCCTTGGCAGAAGATGGCAAAGCTGGAAGAGACATGGCAAAGTTTAATGAAGTGAAGAGACTTTCTGAAGATGATTATTCAAGGATTTCCATTAATGTGGCAGGAGTAGATGCTGTATCTGACCAAGAGTTTATCTGCGTAGTTCCTTTATGTACTGTTTCTTCTGCTATCCCTGCATCTGAAACTTCTCCAGCTTCTGTTGCTGGTTCCCAAACATTCTCGTTTTGGGAAAGATCTCTTGTTCAACCCTCCCCGCCATACGTTCCTCCTCCGCCCCCACCTCCCCCACCCCCCCCACCCATTCTGCCAAAGCCAGCTGTTTATCCTAAAAAGAAGCCACCAGTTAAAACTGCAGTGACCACAGTTCCCACCATGATACCCTCCATCAGTACTGTCAAAGCAGCAGAGACCTCTGCTATGCAAACTCATGTGTCTCCTGTCACTAAAACATGCACCCTGACCCCACCCCCCGTCCCCCCTAAGCCAGCATCAATTCCAGCAGGGCTTGTATTCGTGCACAGACCTTCTGAAATAATAAAGCCTCCTATTGCTCCTAAACCAGCCGTTCCCCAGCTACCAGTGGCTGTTCATAAACCAACAGAAACACAGTCCAAGCCAGCAGGTCTGCCTTTTACCAGCTCCATGACTTTGAGCTTGGTTTCCCCTGCTGAATACAAACTGACCTCTCCCACCTCCCCGTCATCTCCACATTCTAATAAATCCTCCCCGAGGTTATCCAAACCCTCTCAGGAAACCTATGCTGTTATCACGTTGCCCTCTGAGCCCGGGACTCCAACCGGATCCATTACCAGCCAAGCCACCAGCAGTTGGCCTGGGGGTTCACTCCCTAAGGAACCAGCTCCAGAGGCTGCACAGACATTATTCATGCCGCCTGTAAGTTTGCTGCAAATGCATAGTACAACAGATCAAAGCAAGAGTATCCCAGATGCTTTGAATGCTGTTGCTTCTATCCCTTTCCCTACTACTGTACAGCCAATTTTTGGCATGGTGCCTAAGTCCACCACAGAACTAATAACAACAGAGATTGCAAGGACTGCTGTGTCTTTGGTAAAAAACGCCGGGTTAGAAAGTGTTTCCATAACGATGCCCCCAGTCACAGGACCTGCAGTAGAGAGAACTAAGTACAGAGAAAACGGAAGGACCCGTGTTTTTGGTGATGTCATGGATCTCCGTACCTTGACTAAGACTAGCACTGATAGAACAGATAGCTGTATGGACCTATCTGCTACTCCCGCAGATGTGAAAAGACAGACAATGGCAGGTGACCCTTCTGGGCAGTGGGTAAGCACAGTTCAGCCAGGGATCATCAACCTTAGTTCTGTGTCCATGGTCAGCCTCTCTTTAGCTCCAGTGGCCGATGCTGTTTCAGTGGTGACCTGTGCATCTACTCTCGGTTATAGTGCAAGCATAGAAAGCCTCATAGACCTTGGGCATGGGATGTCAACTCCACTTCAGTTGACAACATTAAAGCCTTTGGGACCTGGTCCTGGAATAACGGGAAGCCAGGCCCTCTTTGCAGGCAGAGAAGACGCTCCGATCAACCTCTCCCTGGGTATGCCCACATCGGGCCTTGCCTGGGCCACTACAAAGCCTGCAACTGCACCTCTGGTTGCGGTAACCAATGATTGCTTTCATGCTTCTGCTGCTCACAAAGCTCTGGACAGTGGTGTGGTTGACCTGAGCACTACAAAATCCTACAGAACGATGGTGACCGTTGATGGAACAACTTCAGGATTTTTTACCACCGTAATAGAAGACGATGAAAAACCTGTAGATTTGACCTCAGGGAAAAGGGCCGTTTGTTGTGACGTGATTTACAAATTGCCCTTTGGGAGGAGCTGCACCACTCAAGCGCCAGCAACTGCCCTCCCGGAAGATCGTTTTGGCTACAGGGATGACCACTACCAGTACGAGCACTCCGGGTCCTCCGCCTACAGGGGAGCTGGGGGCATGAAGCCCTCCATGTCAGACACCAATTTGTCTGAGGCTGGGCTCTACCCGTACAAAAGCAAGGACGCCTTTGAGCACCAGGTCGGGGCGGCTGATCTAGCAGTAGACTTGACTTCTGGCAGAGTCACTACAGGTCAGTATGACAAGACGCCAGACTTTTCTTGGAAACTTAGTAACAATGTTGCTCACCTCATTTCAGGATGATTTTTGCCTTTTTTTTTGTTGCCTTTCCCCCTTTCATTAGGCTTTACGTTCAAAAGTATGGAAAATTTTGTTGGAATTTATCCATGTATTTTTGTTTTCCAATTTTCGTCAGTTGTTTTGTGGAAAGAGGTACCTGCATGCTCAGAAAATGTTCTTTTTTTCTTCTTGTCCTGCCCAATAAAATGTTGAAGAATTGCATGCAGCTCCTTCCTGCTTTATTGCTCATATTTATCACTCATCTCTATAGGCTGCCTTTCAGAATCCACACCAGAATTAAAGATGGTGTTTTGGGGGACTGGACTATAACTTTCCCCTATAATTTCAGGTGAAATTTTGGATTATTCAAGCAAGATTTCTGATCCATATCCAGAGAGCCGGCATGTGATTTCGGGCATTAGTGCACCTCAGTATTCCCAAGCGAGAATGGTCTCCTCCTTAGGAGCCCCCTATGGAAGTGTGTTGAGATCTTCCAACGGGGTGGTTTATTCCTCGGTGGCAGCTCCCATCCCATCCACGTTCGCTATCACCACCCAGCCTGGCTCTATTTTCAGCACTTCCATCCGAGACCTGCCTTCTCTTCATGCTATTGATTCAGTGCCTTCCTTGTCAAACTTGCCGCAGAGCCAGGCACTCCCAAGGTCATTGCAATTTTTGACAACTGTAGCTTCTAAAAAAGACACTTCCGTTGTTGGCATTGACCCAGGGATACAGCCTCTCCCTCTAGAAACTATTGCCGCTGAGCCAACGCTGCCTGTCTTTAGTACGGCTTCTGAAGCCTTCCTCGGTGGAATTGAAGAGGAAGGAACGGTTCTCATTGACCTCGAAGAAGACAAGCAACAGCATCTGGACATAGAACGTGAGCTGCTAGAGCTTGAAAAACTGAAGCAGCAGCGCTTTGCAGAAGAGCTAGAATGGGAACGGCAAGAGATACAGAGGTTCAGAGAACAAGAGCAATTCATGGTTCAAAAGAAGCTCGAGGAACTGCACTCCATGAAGCACCATCTTCTCTACCAGCAGGAAGAAGAGAGGCAGGCTCAGTTCATGATGAGACAAGAAACATTGGCTCAGCAGCAGCTACATATTGAACAAATCCAACAACTTCAACAGCAGCTTCACCAGCACTTAGAAGAGCAGAAAATCCACCAGATGTATCAGTATAATTACGATCCTTCTGAAATGGTGTCCCCAAAAACCACCACAGATCAAGTCCTCGATGGCCAGTACACTGCAAGCAACCAGTTCTGGCCTGGTGAGGAGGTGATTGCCACTACCTCAGCTCTCCTGGGGATAGAACTTCCAGACAGCCAAGGCTGGTACGCTGTCCAGTCAGATGGTGTGGCTCAGTACGTTCCCAAGCCAGGGACATTAAGTTCTGTTTCTGAGCTCTCTCTGAAAGACGTGGATGCGAGTGAGGAAAAACAATTAAAAAAGAAGAGTTCCACACCAAAACTGCACGGCCTTTACGGGGAACACGATGAAGGCACAGAAGGGGAACCCAGGGGTCTTAAAAAGATCATGGAGAGTGGTGTCCAAACGGATGATGAGGATAATGCGGACTTAGGCTATGCAGACAGGAGACGCAGAACCAAAAAGAGCGTTGACACAAGCGTTCAGACGGATGATGAGGACCAAGAAGAATGGGATCCCTCCAACAGATCAAGAAGAAAGACCCGTGTAGGGAAATACGAAGGGAGCATGGAAGTGGATGAGGCCAAAGCCTTCTCCAAGGTCTCCAGTATTGCGGTGCAGACCGTGGCAGAGATATCTGTCCAAACGGAACCTGTTGGAACGATAAGGACACCATCGGTCAGGGCCCAGTTAGATGCAAAGATAGAAATAGTCAAACACATTTCAGCTCCAGAAAAGACGTACAAAGGAGGAAGTTTGGGATGCCAGACAGAAACAGATTCAGACACCCAGAGTCCCCCGTATCACAAAGCCACTTCCCCTCAGAAAGATAAAAAGCGCCCAACGCCATTAGAAATAGGCTATTCATCCCACCTTCATCCTGAAAATGCCCTTCAGGCAGTTCCTTCTGCTCCCAAGTCTCCCAAAGTCCTCTATTCTCCCATTTCACCTGTTTCTCCAGCTGCAGCCATGGAGTCGGCCTTTGTGCCTTATGAGAAGCTGATGGCTGAAGACACTGGCTCTCAGGACACTCTCCATGCTGACGTGCCCACCACTCCTCAGCTGAGCCCAGAGTCTGCCAAGAGCATCCAGCGCTCTTTGTCCGACCCGAAGCCTCTCAGCCCCACGGCTGAAGATCTCCTCTCCAGAGCTCATTTCCAGTACACGGACGGCTTCCTGGTAAGAACTCTTTCCTCACGCCTTGAATTGTCACGCTGTACGGTATGATAACAAGCTTTGCTTTGTTAACTGGCTGGAGTAGATGAAATGTTTAGTGGACAGTTTTGGAAACAAAGGTCTGTCATGTTAGAAACCAGGATAAGTTTATTTTAAAAACAGAATTAATAGTGCAAGAAATATGCTGTTGATGTTTCACTGGAGAAAGAGATGGTCTTGAATAGGAGCATCTAATTGCACTATCTACTTTATTTAAAGTTGGAAAGAGATATAGTTCATTCTTTACAGAATTAACATCAACATTTTTCTTTGTACATTTGGTCTATTTTTAAAAACGTAAAGGTATTCACATCACAAGGACACCCTTGTACATACACTAGCCTTTTTCTTTCTAAGTTTTTTCTCCTCTCTGTGTACAGTAAAGGGATTGTAATGAAGTCCGGTGCCTTAAACACATGGAATATATGGAGCTTGTCTACTGTATTTGCAGAAAAGATGAGTTGCCAATGATTTGCTCAATATCAGTCTTGTTGGTTTTTTATATTCTGCTTCTCCAAGAAAGTTAAGTTGGGTCCAGTTGAGTTCATCCTATGAGCTAAAAATCACCATAATCAGAAATGGAATATTTTGGAGGTCATTGTGAAGGATATCCTTGGTACCTGGCAGGCAATGTCACTCAGATCTGCTCCAGGGACAGGTCCAGTGGAGTCTGGCATGGATTTCTGGAGTGAGTTTCCACTCCCGTGGAAGGGGATCAGGTGCTCCAGATTGTAAGCTCAGCCATCCCTTGTTAGAATCAGGTGGATCAAGGCCACATGGGAGGTGAAGTGTCCATGGGATCCATGCAGTGATTTCTGCTTCTTTGTGTGGGGCCTCAAAGCCCCCTGGCCTTGAAAGAGAAGAAGCTCCTTAAGAGATCATTGGTTGCTATCTGGGCTCCAAACTTTCATATTCAGGGTTGCTGAGTGGGTAGCTGCTGAAGTCTATAGTCCTCTATTTTGTTTATTTATTCATCTATGGACAAATAATTTTTATTTAGACAGTATGTGTAACAAAAAAGCTAGGAAAAAAACCAATAAATATTGCTTGATTTTTCTGTCCATCTAGAAATCCAAAGTTACTGCTGGGAAATTATTGATGAAACTCTGGCACAGATGATACATTTCTTGTGTATCTCCAGTGTTGAAAGTTGAATATGGGACGTGCCACAATTGAGAAATATTTACATCTATGAAACAATCATTACTTTCCAATGAAAGTATATACTCTTGTATAATGGTTTGCTGCAGTGTGACGATATGAGGACAGAACCCATCTAATTTGTATTTGACAAATTAGTTTTATTTAACTAATGTGGGCAAAATTCATTCTGTATTTCAAACAAATCAATTTGATTCAAACTAATATGTAGTTTTAAACATATTTGTTCCCCCCAAATTTTGTAATATAATTCTCAGCCTATACTCCAGAAGGGGTTTTTAATCCCAAAAAATTGTGTGCATTTTTTAAAATCATAAATACTAAAAATAGAATACAGTAGACACAAAAATATACATATGAGGAACTATTAAAAGCCAATAAACAATAAAAAGGTATTAGAAGCAGGGGTTATTTGCAGCGATAAAGTCTAGGCTGGTCTAGCGAATGGTATTGGGGTAAACTACTTACAGCTCCATTTTCATTTTCTTAAGTCAGACATTTAATTATTTTAAACTATTATTTTGGCTTAGCGGTTTTCTCCCTTTTTTGTGTTCTGCTTAACATTACTTATCTTCAAAGGGAATTGTATGTAAGATAAAAACCAGAATGGACTATTCCCGCTAGACATGGTTTCTAGAATGTGTGAATTGAAAGGTAGGTAAGGCATATTCCTGTCACTCAGGGGAAGTGTTTCTTCACCGATATTGCCTAGTGCTAATCTTCTCTCTATTGTTCCACTTCTAGTGCATATGCTCAAATTTTTGTAGACATCAATGCTTTTGCCAGTTGAATGAAGTAGGCAAAGCTACACTTTTCCATGGCGCCCAATTTGCACAAGAATCTTATGTTTTGATAGGATTGCTGCAGGCCTAAAATATTACAGATGATCAGGTCATGAATTGATTCTGCTGTCCCACAGATGTCTCCTAATCCAGTTTCTTGTTCCCAGCAGTGGGGCAAGACATTGTTCAATAAACCCCCAAAGAGTCTTTTCATCGAGCTGACTCTCCAGTTCCCGATACAAAGACGTTGCCACCGGCATGGCAAGTCAATTTTGCTTAATGGGTAAAAGAAACCGATAGATCCCTTCTTTATGAATTTTATTGATTCACTTTTAAAACTGTCTAGATAACAATGACACACACTTTATTCTTTAATACTGAGCTCCATAAGAGCTCAGTAAATTGTGTTACATATTTTGAAATACTTGCTGGGTGACACGTTGTGCTCTCCGTTTCCAAAACAACGTGTCTTCTCTGTTTGTGTGTGTGTGTGTGTGTGTGTGTGTGTGTGCAGCAAGCCAAAGACCCTTCGGGTGCCACAGTGCCATCAGGACTGCAGAAGAAGGTCAAGCGGACACTTCCCAACCCGCCTCCCGAGGACCTTTCAGTAGGGACACAGCCGGCCTTCTCCACAGTGGGGTCAGTTTCACGCCGGAGGATATGCAGAAGCAACACAATGGCCAGGGCTAAAATCCTCCAGGATATAGACAGAGAACTAGACTTGGTAGAAAGAGAGTCTGCCAAGCTTCGCAAAAAACAAGCAGAGCTTGACGAGGAAGAAAAAGAAATAGATGCAAAACTCCGGTATCTGGAAATGGGCATAAACCGACGCAAGGAAGCCCTGCTTAAGGAAAGAGAGAAGCGAGAGAGGGCCTACTTGCAAGGGGTAGCAGAGGAACGTGATTATATGTCCGACAGCGAGGTCAGCAGCACCCGGCCAGCCAGGGCAGAATCCCAGCACGGCCTGGAAAGACCGAGGACTGCGCCCCAAACAGAATTCAACCAATTCATACCCCCTCAGACGCAACCGGAAACTCAGTTTGCCACTCCTACGAGTCCTTACACGCAGTATCAGTACTCTTCCCCTGCCCTTCCTACTCAGGCACCCACTCCCTATACGCAGCCATCCCATTACCAGCAGTCACAACCTTTATATCAACAACAGGTTTCGCCCTACCAGACCCAGACTGTGGTGCCCGTCTCCTTCCCTCCCCAGGCCCAGCCCCCACCAACTTTACAGCCTTCCTACCAGCTCTCCTCTCCATTGATGATGATCCCACAAAAGGCGAGGCAAACCTCATTATACATGGAACCCAAGATAACCACAAACTATGACGTCATCCGCACTCCGTCTCTCATGATGGCGCCTGCGTCCTCTGACAATGCCTACTCGGTGGGTCACCTGGGCAGCAAGTATAGCACTTTGGATTTGAGGCTGGGACTGGATGAGAGGAGCAGCATGGCCAGCAGCCCCATCTCCAGCACCTCTGGTGACTCCTTCTATGTGGACCTGGAGCACCACAGCACACATGGCTACGTGCTGCTGGATGATATGGGGGAGCTCACTAAAGAAGCAGCAACCCTGAGCTCTGCCTATGGGCTGCACGAAAAGGATCTTGGCAAAGCTGATAGGCTCCTTCGGACCACCGGAGAGGCCCGGAGAGTGCAAGAGGTCCCCGATTTCCTCTCATCCCTGCAAACGTCTTCCAGGTTGCCCAGCTACATGAAGACCGAGGAAGACTCCATGGAGGATCCCTATGAACTGAAACTTCTGAAACATCAGATCAAGCAGGAGTTCCGAAGGGGCGTAGAGAGCGTGGGTCACTTGGCTGGCCTCTCCCACTATTATCCTGCAGATACGAACTACAGACATTTCCCCAAGTCTGAGAAATACAGCATAAGCAGGCTCACTCTAGAAAAGCAAGCTGCCAAGCAGCTTCCGGCAGCCATTCTTTATCAGAAGCAATCCAAACATAAAAAGGCTTTGATGGATCCCAAATTGTCTAAATTTTCACCCATCCAGGAAAGCAGAGACCTGGAGCTTGACTATTCAGCTTATTTGGCTTCCAACACCTCCTCAGTTGGGAGCATCCCCTCCAAAGCAAAACTTCTCCAAGATGACCTAACATTTGGCCTTCGGAAAAATATGATAGACCAGCAGAAGTACATTGCTCCCACTTTGTCTCATTCCCTGGGAACGAGCCTTGGAGCAGCGCTGAGTGTCACCATGAGGTCAGCTTTACAGGATGAGGTGGACAAATCTTACGCCAGCGCCACCAGATCTAGACCGTCCTCAAGACCGTCCTCTGTCTACGGGCTCGACCTGTCGCTAAAACGAGATACATCCAGCTCTTCTTTAAGGTTGAAAGCCCAGGAAGCCGAACCCCTTGACGTTTCCTTCAGCCATGCAGCCCCTTCGGGAAGAACTAAGCCTACCAGTCTACCCATAAGCCAAAGCAGAGGGCGGATTCCAATAGTCGCACAGAACTCAGAAGAAGAGAGTCCCTTAAGCCCAGTGGGGCAACCCATGGGGATGGCCAGAGCAGCTGCTGGGCCGCTGCCCCCCATATCTGCAGACACCAGGGACCAGTTTGGCTCAAGCCATTCCTTGCCTGAAGTCCAGCAGCACATGAGGGAGGAGTCACGCGCTCGGGGCTACGATCGAGATATTGCCTTCTTCATGGACGACTTCCAGCACGCCATGTCAGATAGTGAAGGTAAACCAGGCTTCAGGCGGCCTTCTCCATTTCACAGCACGAACCCGAATTTTATGCATGTGTCTGATTTCAACATCTGTTGGGAACTAGGGTGACTATTTTTTTTTTTAAAAAAAAACACCTTTCTGCATTTTTGTACATGTAAATATGTCTGGAGTGTGTAGGCATGTTCTTCTCAGCTTGCTGGCCTCACTGTACATGGGCAGACTTGCATTTTATGTCACTTTTGTTTGCATGTGCATTTTTCTTTGCTCTTTGCTGGTATTTTCAGGAACATTTTTCCCCTGGGACCAGCTTAGTGGGAGAGGTCTTCAGGACACTATTGTTAAGGATGAGAAACCACAATATTGATTGTAACCACTTAGTCCACACAAGATCTTGATTAAACGCAATTGCACCATTACCTCCCTTATCTCTGAGCTTCAAGCGTCGCTTGCCCTGTGCCCCCCTTGCCCGCTCGCCCTGCCGTAACATGTCAACGTCAGCTGCCCCTGGACTCCCAAGGGCTAAGAGACGGGTGGCCAATGGTTGCAGGTAGAGCTGGATCCCAGGAGGGACAAAAGCACCTGTTCCTCTTAGGGCTCCCTCTTCCACAGCGAAGGGTGGCAGATCAGTTCCTTCCCCCTCTTGCTGTGCGGGCTCCTTCTGGAGGTGGCGATGCTGGACCTGCAGCCAAGAGGAAGGGGACGTGGACCTGACCGTTATAAAGAAAGCTGCTTAGCCAAGACTTGGAATGAGAAACTCCGGCAGCGGTTTTGGGGTGGAGTTCTCACTTGAGATGAAACTATAGATGAATGGGGATTAATCTGAAGATATCACTTACACGTAGACACATAACTTGGTTTGTAATTTCTTAGGCAGCAGGTAGATTGGTCGTCTTTAGTTCTTCTCTGTTGACCCAATAACATCTTTTCTATTTTGAAAGGCTAGAAATTTAAAATAATGAATACAAACACTGAACTTTACACATATATCAATGCAGATTTTAGTTGCATTACTACATGCCATTTCACTTACTCTGTAGAAGTCAGATCAACTTCTTAAAAATTGTTTTTTTGATCTCTGCCTACAGGCTCTAAATCTTAAAGGAGCCATATAGTACTTCACTGGCAATGTTATATCTGCATGTTATGCTTATATCCACTTTAACTGAATGCAGATAGAGCTGCTCAGCGAAGATTTGATAAAGATTCTTACAAGGCACAAGGCCCGGTTTACAATAAACATAAGTATACTAAAGAAGTATTACCAACCACATAAAAATGCCTGGCTTTTTAGTGGGGAAAAATATATGGGGACCCTTTTTATTGAAACAGATAAATACGTGATGTAGTAAAGGAGATATGAATTTTGATTTCACTGCTGCAACTTAGAAAATCTCTTTTGCCCAATTCTGTAATCTCAGAAATCCTGAAAGCCAACGCTTGATTGTGGATGCTTTTATTTTAGCCTTATTATGAAAATTACTAAAAGGGATTGCTAGCTATTATCTCAATCTATAAGAGCAGTAAGAAAGATAATCCTGGCAATTTTAGTCTGTTAGCTTGCTCTCAATAATCAGTAAATTATATCCTGTAAATTTGATCCATGTCTTCTTTTTCTGTGGTTATTATAGAGATGTGAATTACAGTTTTTTTATTCCTAAAAGAATTATTTGTCTACTTCATTAGAGCTACATAGGTGTCAATACTGAGTACTGCTCATTTTCCAACTGCATATGTGATTCTGTGAACACATACATACATGCATATATGTAATATGTACATGAATGTATATACATGTGTGTGTAGATGTGTATATATAGAGAGAGATTGTGTGTGTGTGAGGAAAGTAGAAATGATTGGTTGAATCTGTTTGTAGCTTGTCCCAGGATTTAAAATCGGTTGATCACCGATGTTTATATATATGTCAGCAATGTACTAAAAACAAGAAGCACATTTTAAAAGTTACATTAATATATACTTCCAAGCCCATTGTGGGCATGAATGCATCATTTCCATAAAATTAGCCCTGATGGTAAGTAATGCTTGAACTCTGAAAATTGACACCCAGATAGCAGATTCTCCATCTGCTATCACAGCCTCTAGCTACATTGAATGCAACTGGGACATATTGTATTCTGATATTAATGGCTATGATTGAAATGCAGGTGAAGAACAGCCTCTAAACACTTATACACATGTTTATGAAGCCACCTGCTGACAGAAACAAATTCAGAAGTGTTAAATATTTAAGTAACTAAAGGCCAAAGGGATTAAGTTATTCTAATATATATACATATTTAATTAGGCACCATTCCTTTGTGTTTGCGCCTAACTTACATTAGTCCGCTTCATCTTTTGTGTGCTATTTTAGCTTTGCAATGCATGCCCAGGTATGAGCTGCTGTGTGCATGTTGACTGCGCATCCAAGATTGTTAGTCTTCTCACATCTCCTACTCAGAGCTGTGTCCTTGGTTTTCAAAGCCTACCACCTGCGTCGGGAGGAAACCGATTGGTTCGACAAACCTCGGGAGCCCCGCCTGGACAATGGGCCTGCTTTTGACAGAAGGCTGCCAGATAAGTTAGCCCACTCAAGACCCCCGAGCCAGCATCAGGACCAAGTAAGGACGCTATTTCTTTTCAATCAAGAACATTGCATATGAAAGTCGATTCTCCAGTCATTTCACAGAAAAATGGGATAGGCCTTTGCAGCTCTTTTTAATGGTTCTCATACTGACCTGCATCTAAGAGAAATAACACCAAGGGCTTTGACTAGGAAGACCAAATTAAAACAGTTCTCGTGAATAAATGCAAACCTATGTATCCAAGGATAATGTTGCAGGATCCAATCTGGGTCAGTCCCTGGGACCAGAGGTTTAGTCTTCTGAGTTTTTGGACATTCACATTGAAGCCCATCCTCAGGGAGCCTCTTTCTCTCTCTCTCTCTCCTCTCACAGACGTTGCCTGAGATTGGCTCCAGCACGCTGAAAGCTCAGAAGGCTACACCTCTGATCTTGGTGACCAACCCAGATTAAACCCTAAAATGGTTCTCTCCTACTGTTGGCAAAATACACAGACAATAATGCCAATAATTGGATTTATGCAATGCCCATCTGTCCCAAGTATTTTAATCAGAAGCAGGAATACGTTGGGGTGTCTAGAGTGGCATTGTTGGGGAAATCTAGTAATATTCCCACAACAAGCATTTCTGGATGTGCTCTAGTTCTGGGGTTGAACCAGCCCCATATCTCCTTTTCTGCTGCCCCCGAGGTCATTCTTAGAGCTTGGAACTGAATGCCCCACTAATCATAAATCACTTCCGTTGGTCCCAACAGGCAACTAAATGTGTTTCCTGCTAAAGGTTCACTATTCCAGAATTTCTAGATAAGGAGCTAAATTCTGTGCTACAGCAATTGAAGTTGCTATATATGAACAAGTTCACATTCTGCATGGTTAGTTTCTGTTATAAACAAGGTTTATATGCTATTCATTTTTCTTTTAGCAGATGTTTTTGTGGGGACTACAACAATCCATAAGTAAGATTAAAAAATAAAATCCGCCTTAACTTCGCTTTGATGGGCAGCATCAACAAATTACATAAACTATCCAAATATTTATTTGGAATTAGCATTTTATCAAAAGGACTTTTAATGCAGTGCTTTCGATTTGGGGCAGTTAAAAAAATATTTCCCCCTTGTCTTATGCTCCATCTCTTTCCTGGCTTTCTCCAATCTGCAGAAAATGAGGCTGTATTTCACAAAATATGAAAACATTCCTGAAACCTTTTCATTCAGAGTTATCTAGAACGGCAACATTTTTAGAAGGCCAATGTAATCTAAGCCAAGGGCTGGGAATTTGCCATTTTTATAGGAATTACCTAAGAATCGAATTGAGCATTTCTACATTGCATGCCCTAAGCAGTGAATTGAAGGAAGCCCTTCTGCAGATTTTGCATTTTAAAGCCTGGTTCATCAACTGCCTTGCCTGATAAATTCTCTTGTGACAGTGCTGCTTCTGCTGTCGTGTTGAAAAATGTATTCCATGGAATGGGAGACCCGTGCTATAAGGTTACTTATGTAAGCAGATAAAGACAGGCAGATTGCATAAGTGACATATTTGTGCATTAGATTTTTTACAACATTCACGAATTGGAAAACAAGCAACATTTGGTTGGAGACAGTTGCTTTTACTCTCCTGTTTTTCTGCCTCAACTGCAGTAGCAAAACTAACAAACCTTCTACTACCAGACACGCAAAACAAACAAGTATCCCAATAAATTCCAATAAGCATAGATAAACACAAGCCAATGTGAGCCTCCATGTGCCTCTCTGCAAAGTCTCCACCCATTTAAAAAAAAAAAAAAAAAGGATTCGGAAGCATCCCTGCAAACCACAGCGGTTCCTACATTAATAGCATATTCCCCTCTTTCCATTATCATAAACACCTAATTTCCCCTCCAATAATCCACATATACAATAAGTAAAAAACAGTTCCAGAAAGATCATACAGTGAGGATGTTGGAAATATCATTTGGACGTGCAGAGGATGGAAGAAAAGCAGAGTACAGATTCACTTTGTCCCCGCTCAGATTGCAGAAAAATTTCTCAGTTGTCTCCTGAAAGGCCTTTTTGAAACCAAACCTTGTTTTAGTTTCATTCAATAAGCAATTTATCAGTAACAACCAAAAGCCAAAAAGAGATCAGAAAATTGGAAGTATTTTTCCTCAAAGGGAACTCGGCCATTGGTGTTCTCCAGGGGACATCAATTGACCATCCAGGGGAAGTGATTTATTCATTGACACCTGCCAGGAAGTTTATGTCAATTTTTTTACTCTAAACTCTGTCCTTGGATTACTTGGTGGTCTCCCATCCAGCTATTGCATCTCAGATCCACTGTACAGCTAAAAGAGGAACTGTGACAAACTTGATCAATATTATTCCCCAAACTTCTCCCATGGTTGTTGCCAATAAACATCCAGCCATGTAGACCCTGCTGTTACAAAAATACAACCTATTGATCCTTGAAACAGTAATTGTCAAGCCCAAAGATAAGGGCCCTATGCCATTTACAATCCAAAAAGGATTTATTGCTGATGACTATACACTAGAATCCAATCAAGTTCAGTACTAAATTGGTACCAGATAAGGGTCCACGAAATTCAAGAGGGCTGACTTGGACCGTTTGTGGCAACTTAACTACTGATGGCACATTTAACTCTGCCCCTCCCAGCTCTGCCTGCTTTTCTTTTACAGTAATAATAAGAATAAAAATGCCAAATCCAGTCTAAACACCTGACTGACTTTGCGATGAACCATAAGTTATTACTTGTGTGCCATCCAATGCTCAGAGATTCTGATCCAACATATAGGCAGCATTTTAGTTTTCCTTGTATTTTCCAGAATTTAATACATTCAATTTATTTGAGCAATCTGCCACAGACCATAGCATTCCTATGGAATTAGCCTTTTATGAGAGTATTTTAATTGCGTTGGAAGATTTATTGATGTCCAATGCAGTTTTCAAAGCTATAGTATTACAAGACAATATTTAAACTGTCCATTTTGGCTGCTATATGTTATACCAACTGAAATTTTTATGTGATCTTCAAGGGCACAAAATGTAAATTAAATTAGAGTAATCCAAAAGGAGGCTGACAGGATATCAGTTACTAGTAACAGTGTGCCTAGCTTCAGAAAAGGCTGCTGTAGGCATTCCGGTTGGTCGTGCCATTTTATTTTATTTTATTTTTTATTATTTTATTTTTGTATTCACTACGCAATTCATTCCATGTAACCCAGGGTGGCTTCTCCCTGAGTTCTGGCAGGGAGGATCCCAAAAATGGGTCCTCATCCCAGGACTGAGGGGGCTTTGTGACGAATGCCCCTCCACACACCTCCTCCCCCCCCATTCAACCCAGGCTGGATCTGGACGGATGCTATGCTGCAGTGATGCCTTGGAGCCTCAGACAGGCGTTAACCAGCAGCACAGGAGCAAAGGTCAGGCTGGAGGGCACCTCCCAACACAAGGCCAGAGCAGCCAGAATCTAGTGGAGAGAGGGAAGCTCTACCACCCCCGGGTCTGGTAGACAGACACAGGTAATCCAGTGCCCAGCCGGAGCAAAAGCCGGATCTCCGGCAAGACAGGCCAGCCAAGTCCCCATCGCAGCTCATCCACAGAGCCACCCAAGGTCCAAGATTTGGGTCCAGAGCCCAGGTCTGTGTCCTGATTGCCCTGAGTTCAGGTCATCTGCCTCCTCCTCCTCCTCCTCCTTCTCCTCCTTCTCCTCCTTCTCTTCTTCTCCTTCCTTCCTCCGCAGCTCTCTGTAGCTCTTTCTCCACCAGGATTTTGGGAGCTTGGAGGTAAGATAATAGTAGTTGAGACAAGAAGGCCCAGGTGGCCCTTTTGAGAAGGGAACAGACAAAGAAGTTGCCCTCTCCTACAAAGAGGTGGCCGCTTTAACTACCCAGGAGAGGTGGGAAGACACCCACAAGTGCTGAAGAAAAGCTTGTCCGCTGCCTTGGGAGTTTTAAGGTTCCAAGACCCCAGGCAAGCTTTGCTTGAGGGTGCATAATGTCTCTCTGCATAGGGGTCATGCCAGGCTTGGCACAACAAGAGGAAAAGCCCTAAGTCGATGGGGCCAATTTATTTTTATTTTTTAAAAATATAATTACTGCTTTTATTTTATTTTCATAACTTTGCTTGGGATTGGAAAGTTGCCACTGGGGAAAAAAATAGGCCACAGTTCTTTTCCTTATCTGTGGGCTATTATGAAATTGAGTGGGTTTTTTTTTTTACATTTTAGGAAAATACACTATGCGATTTTCTTCCTTGTTTAAAGATGATAGAATAGCAAATAGGAAGGAAACTTTATGGATTTTTCATTTTTGTTGCTGGAGGGTGGGTGGGTTAAAGAGGAAACTGAGTATTAAAAAATGGCTACCTTAATGTAAAATCATGGAACAATCTTTCTGGTATTTCCCTATATCTTAAATGTGAGCCAGTCTCTGACTGTAATTGCAGGAGAGTGTATTTATTTTATTTATTTATTTATTTGATTTGTCAATTGCTTACAAGATAATAGGTATAAGTATATACATAGTTATGAATACATGAAATGGGTACATATAAGAAAAATAAAAGAAACAATAGGACAGGGACGGTAAGCACGTTGGTGCGCTTATGCACGCCCCCTACAGACCTCTTAGGAATGGGGTGAGGTTAATAATAGACAGTCTAAGGTTAAAGTTTTTGGGGTTTGGGGAAGAAACCACAGAGTCGGGTAGAGTATTGCAGACATTGACCACTCTATTGCTGAAGTCGTATTTCCTGCAATCAAGTTTGGTGCGGTTAACCTTGAGTTTGTATCTATTGTTTGTTCTTGTGTTGTTATGGTTGAAGCTGAAGTATTCATTGACAGGTAGGACATTGCAATGTATGATTTTATATACTATAGTTAGATCGGACCAAAGGCGGCGTAGTTCTAGGTTTTCTAGGTCTAGAATTTCAAGTCTGGTGGCATAAGATATTCTGCAATGAGTAGAGGAGTGGAGAACTCTTGTTGTGAAATATTTCTGGACTTTCTCAACTGTGTTAATATCAGATACGTAATGCGGGTTCCAGACTGATGAGCTGTATTCAAGTATTGGTCTAGTTAGTAGTGTGATATTACCAGAGAAAAAGCTAGGTAGGATTAGCTTAACAACTCTTAATGCCTTTTTGGCTATGTAGTTACAGTGGGCTCTGGCACTTAGATCATTAGAGATGAGTACTCCAAGGTCCTTTACAGAGCTTGGATCATTACTCTGCACCCATAAGAAATTTATATAGTGTTTTCCCAGATTGAAGTGTCCTAACAAAGAAAGGCTTTCAAAAAGAAAACACTATCCATTTTTCCATGTATTTTGCTTTTTATCTTCAGTTTCCATCCACAAGAAATATACTGCGTCAGTTATCTTCATCCAGCCAACCGTCATTTTCACTGTTTGCTGCAGGCAACCAAAATACAGTATTGATCTCTGGATACCCATAAAGGCTGGGTTTATAGGCATATTTATTACAAAGATTTACAATGATCATGAAACATTTTTAGGACTGTGTGTTTGCCCGGTTAATTCAAAAGTGCACAACTATGGATGTGGCAACCTTCATTGAAACAACATTCAACCTTGTATTGAAACAAACCCAACCGGAGAAGGCCCAGACATGGATACATCCCTTTGGCTTTAAAATTACTCCTGAACATGTCTTTTTTCTGAATATGTACAAGTGTCAGGAATATTTATGATAGTTAAACTTTTAACACTAATGTGAGATGATTGAAGAACCTCATGGGAGGAGATTTCATGAACATACATGCCAAATTTCAAGTTTGTAGGCTTTACGGTTCTGGAGATTTTGTGATGATGAGTGGTATTTCGCTTTTATAGAGAGAGATTTACGTCCTCCGCTTATGACTGTTGTTGAGCCTGGCAATTACAGTTGTAAGTTGTACTAGTCAACTTGTGGACCATCCTATGACTGACATAATTGTATAACCATTTGTGTGGTGGTCATTAAGTGAACACCATAGTCATTAAGCAAAGCTGTTTTAGGGATGTTTTTTGCCAGAAACCAGAAGTAAATGCTGGTTTACGGCAAAAACTCCGTAAATTGTGGTCGCATGGCTGCAGGACGATGCAAAGGGCCATAAATGCAAAGGTCCAGTGGCCCAAGCTCCCAGATGCAGTCATGTGACTACAGGTGGGGTAGCTATTGAAACTTTGAAACCAGATTGTAAACGGCTTTTACCTCTACAGAAGCAGCTTAGGAGGCTGAGTGAGCCACTGATCCCCCCCCCCCCCCCCGCATGCTCTGGTTTATTCCATTTTTCTCTGAAAGGCTAGAATGAAAGAGACAAAGCTGTCATCTGTGCTCACTGATGCTCAGACTGTGAAATGGAGGCCGCCCCCTTCCTTGGGATCAACATTACTGCACACAATCGCAGTGAACCACTACCTCCCGTGCTGAGTGCAACTGGAAATACAAATAGTTGTACTTGTTTGTGTTAAAAAGAGGCAGGTTGTATTTCCAAACGTAGTGTTTGCAAGGCTAACGCTTTAATTTAAAATAACTATTTACCCAAGGGATAACCTTGAATCCGCATTTGCATTTTGTATTCCCTAGATTATCGGGAAGCCCATCCAATACACCTTCCCTCATGCAAGGCTGAGACTCCTGAGCGACCCAAAGGATCACTCTGTTTCAGGTAAAGTAAACGAGACACCCCAGCATGAATTCTTGGAGAGCAGGGCATGTGTGGCAGGATGACCGAGTTGCCATACGAAGGAATTATTCATTTCTGAGAATGGTTGAAATTCTGCAATGCTTATTAAATGCTACTTTCTCAAAAAGAATAAAAGTTCTGTCAAAGATATAATACAGCTAGTTCTCATTTAGCAGCTACCACATTTGGTGACAGTTTACAAATCAAAATAAAATATGATTGTCTACCTTTATGACCAAATTTCATCAGTCTGGCATCAAAAACTTTGAGTGTGAAACTGATTAAGATATGGTTGGTTCCAGGCAGTACCTGGGGGATCTAATCAGCTAATTAAGACCCCAGAACTTAGCTTGTTAGCTTTTTATTTTATTTATTTTATTTACTAAAAAGAAAAGTCACACATTTCTTGACTCTAATCATTGATAGAAATATTTTTCTCATTTCTTAATATATATCTCTTAGCAAGTCCAGCACAACCATAATTCTTCAAGCATAGTCAGATTCCAGATATTGGTAGCCTTTACACTAAAGAATTTCCCCATAAATCTATCTCTGTATGTTAACATATTATTCAGCTATTCACTGGACCACTCAACAGCCTTGTTCGGGGGCCTGGGGGCCAGTTGCTCTCTCTCCTGTAGGAAGAAAATAATGGCAAAGTACTCTGGAAAATGCTGCCCTCCAAAATGGAAATAGTAAACAGCCACTTTGCTCGTTCTTACTAAAATTAGCCTCTTGTTCCCCAGGAACAGAAACACTTGCCCTGGACATTTTCTGGAGTTCAAGGAGTTGAGGAATAGAATGTAAAAATTATTGTCTTTGGGGCTGGAGCTCTTGGTTGATCCTGGCTGCCTGCACTGGAACAGGTGTGATCAGCCTGAGTCATACTGGCACATTTTCTTTCTTTCTTTCTTTCTTTCTTTCTTTCTTTCTTTCTTTCTTTCGAAAAGAAAGGCCGGGTTGATGCCCATTTGAGGTTTCCTGGCAGGATGATTATTAGACTGCCTTTTCATGTATTGCTTTGATCTCAGGCCACAAATGTACAATGCTACATTTGCATTCCTGTCAAGATACAATTGTTCTTTCTGCCTATCATCACTGTGACTTCAGCATTAAATGGAAACTAACTTATTTCCCTAACTTGCTATATACATTATTTTCTGAGATTTGCAGAGAGAAATGTTTTTCATTCTTCCCGTTTTACCATCTTTCTCATATTCTAACAGAGTTGCCTCTTCATTTCTTTTGAGTTTTCATGATATGCAGACATACACACACAGAGTTTATTTCACTCTTATCTTGGTCTTGTTCAGTTCCGTTCGTAAAATCAAGTCATTTGATTAATTGATTGATTGATTTAATCACATGATTAAAAACAAATTTCTTTCTTGTCAGTTTCACTGGAACTCAAGTTATATTATCTGGCTGGGAACAAAACTAATATTTCTGAATGAAAAAATATAGAATTGAACAGCTACAGCAAAAAAACCCTATAGCTTTCTTATGAATTACATTACTGCTTTTATTCTTATATTTTAAAAATTACCATGTGCTTTCTTTTTTAAATGCAGGCAATGGACTTGGGCTTCGAGTTGTAGGTGGAAAAGAAATTCCTGGAGCCAGTGGAGAAATTGGTGCTTACATTGCAAGGATCCTACCAGGTGGAAATGCTGAGCAAACAGGGAAACTTATGGAAGGTACAGTGACCAGTTCTTTGTCTTCATTGGTACTGATCGGTATGCATGCGGAAAGATGATTATCCTCAAGGAAAAATCTAGGAAGACCTGATGAATAAGTGGAAAGAAATAGGTCAAGCAGCAAAACCAGAATCTGCTGGAGAAGGTCCTCAAATAAAGATCAGAAAATCATGGTAAGTCATTTTTTTTTCAAGGGAGCCAAACTCTTTTGTAGACCTTTTGGAGTTTCTGGAACAGTTGGGCTATAAAAAGTAGCTTTGTTGTTGTTGTTGTTGTTGTTGTTGTTGGATATACAATCAGCCAGGTGTTCAGACTGGATTTGGTATTTTCATCCCACTATCTAGTCCTCCCTGAAGAGCTGAATTTTGAATTATTACTTTTTTGTTCATAGCACAGTCAACTATATGTTTAGACTGGATTTGGCATTTTTGACAACTATCCTTTCCAAGGACCTGGAATGGGCAGATGTGAATGTTTGATGTTGTTGTTGTTAATAATCCTGTCTTTTGAAATATACATTTGGTGAACTCAAGCCAGCAAGTATACCTAATACTCCTGCCTCGTATTTCTCTACAACTACCACACTGTGAGGTGGGTTGGGCTGAGAGACAGAGAGTGACTGGCCCAAAGTCACCCATCTGGTTTTTATGCCCTAAGGAAGGATTGGAATTCAGGGTCTCATTATTTCTAAGCCAGCAATAACAATAATGCACAAGTGTCCATAGTTTTCTTAAATAATTAAAAATGGTAAATTGGTAAATAAATTCTTAATAACTAGATGTGTCCACTGTGACATTCATTTTGTAAATAGAGATATTGTCCCCAACGGTCTATTTGTGAGAACCTCTTGTGAAAATTTTAAAAAGGTCCACCTGTCATATATTAGATTTCTTAAACAAATCAATTGTGACCTGGGCATGCTTTAGAAAAGGCTATTAAAGCACAGCAAAGAAAACTGGAAGACTCCACTATATTATTTATCAAACTTGCCTAGGAAAATTAAAATCATAACCAACACCTTGAATTGGACCTAGAGCCAACTGGCAACCAATGAAGATCACATAAAAATGGTTCCACATGGACCCTTAAAACTGTCCCTAGGACTCCCTTCTGCACCAACCGTAGCTTCCAAGCAGTCTCCAAGGGTAGCTCCATGAAGGACAGTGCTGAGGGACAGCATATCCGCCATAGGTCAGACACGTGGTAGTAAAAGCAGCATGGCAGAAGTACAGCCACCAGAGGTGTCTATTGCTGCAATCTCTTGAGATCACCAAATCCTGCTTAATTTATACTAGGATAGTTATACTAGAACATCAGACTCTTGCAAGAATTTGGCCACTTGAAAACAAACACTTCGGTATGCATATCGGAGTCAACGTGCAGCACGTTTACTAAACCCTGGTGTTTCCTAGACATAGACCACAGCTGGGAACATCTGATCCAAAAGAGAAGAAACAAATCCAGGACAGCCAGATCTATCTTCGTTGAGCTATAAATCATTAAGAATCTGAAGTGTCTCCCTGAGAAATCCTACTTATTTTACGGAAACTATTAAAACAGCCTCTTAGAGTAGTGTGACGGGAACCTTTTCCTGGATCCGCTGCCCTCAGCCACTCCTGCCCTGGTCACCTTGTATTTGGGCTACTGCTTTGAAATACAGAACCATGATTAGCATTCTTCTCTAAGCAACATCTGCCATCCATTATTATGAATGTTTCACCATGATTTATTTATTCATTAACTAGGTTTTCAAAACAAAGATATTTGTTAAACAGCATATTATTTGTATAAGTGAAAGCAGTTCAAGAATTCTGCTTTTTTCCAACGTAATTTAATTTGTGTGTATGTGGGGGGGAGAGAGATTTGGTTTTGCGTGGAGATTTTAAATAGCTGCTAGTTAAGACACACTCCGTGCCTCTACCAGGGTGGTAGAGTGACCTTAAGGTTAGCTCAGCTTTAGTTCCTGACCTGAATATCAGGACAGGAACTAAAGCTAAGAGAGCTGAACTTTAGCCTAGAAACTTTTTTTTCCTATAGATACACCTCAGTACAAGATACAGTTCACTAACAATTAAACCCATCTTCTGTTTCCTGCATATTTTCAGTTTAACCGTCAGTTCAAATGACCTTCGTATAGCCACCATTGATTTCTAAGTTGCTCTGCATTGTTTTTTTCTTATTGGAATGGAGTATTTCCAGTGTTTTTTAAGAAGTTCCCAACCTTGTCCTTCACTGGACCTCGGGATTTCTATGAAGTCTCACCAAGTACGTCTCTAAAGTCGTTGAAATCAGCTCTCCTTGCATGTATGTGCGTGTGTGGCTATGCTTCAGTTTCTTATTCTGTAGCATCTGGAACCCTAAGATGAAGTGGCCAATTGTTCTCCATGTTTTTACTTTTTCAGTCAGTTTTTCTTCTTGGTTAGGATCAACTCTAGGAGGGCTGATTTCCTTGTGCTTTGTTAAATTATCAGGGAAATTAAGAAACACCTTTGAGAAACTGTAGACATCTTGCAATCCATTCTTATTTTCCAGGCCAGGCACAAAATCAGGCCTCCAAGGTCTTACAAAAGGCCAACAGGTTTGGGCTCATCATTTTGCATATTTGACTAATTAGTAAGGCCAGTTTAGGAGGCCACATTAAATACATATTATGGAATCTGTATTATAACATGGTGGGTTTTTTCAGCCCAATTACTTCCTCTGTATACGGACTCCTTTACCTCACTAGAACATCGTTTTCCATCTCATATACTTCCAATTCCCGTACTAAGGTATAGTAAAGTCTTTTATTCTATTACTTTGCATTTTGTTTTGTGTGTGGGTTTGTGCATGTCTGAATACTGCCCATATAAAAACTAGGGTCAGTCTTACCATGAGACAGAGTATGCTTCTGGTTTTAGGTGATAAAACTGGGAAGAGTTTATGCTGGAAGAGACAGGCATGTATGGTGTGGCTTCCCTTCATCTCTTCATAGTCGGCCAGAGCAGGAATTCTAGTCCTGACAGAACTCAAGAAAAGTTTGGTCTCCTCAGGGGTGGAATAGAAGTCTACCCTGTTTAGACAGCTGGTCCTGCTGAAAAGAGATCAGTGTATGTAGGGAATAATCGGTCAGGAAGAAGAATTAAGTGGGAAAAATTCATTTGGCTGTGCTGGTGTTTAATATTATGAAACTTACACCCACGTTCCGGTTTGAGCCTCTGCTTCCATTTAGATTTTTCCTACCACAGAAAAGTCCATATTGGTCCCAATGACTCCTGATGCCACATCATGCCAGCTCTTCCTCCCTCAATTTCCTTTTCCCCTTTTCCCCTTATTCAGTTTATTTGTGAGACAGAAATTTTCCATGAAGTTTGGAAACAAGGTAACAAGGTAAGCAAAATTTAAAATTAGCATGATTCGTGTGCGGTGAAAAGGTTTTGATCCTATCACATCAATTCAGAGGCCAACACAGCTGAGAGACTTTGCTTCGGGTAGGTGTTTAGGGTCCATGGTGCTGATGCCAGAACCTGCCTTGTGCCCACTTTCTTAGGTATGCAGGTGCTGGAGTGGAACGGCTTTCCCCTGACGGGCAAGAGCTACGAAGAGGTCCAGAGTATCATCGGCCTGCAGAGTGGGGAAGCTGAAATATGTGTAAGACTGTGAGTTTTTCTTCATCTTCCTGTTTCCATTATTTTTGGGCTTCTTATGGTTTCTTGATTCACAGATGTTAAGTGGCAAACTGCACTTTATAATATTTGATATGAAAAGAAAATGAATGTGATTTTAAGTATTAAAGGAATATCTCCTTATTCCTTATAGTGAACTGATATAAAAAAGAAATGGGATTAATGAACTAGAAACTCGGCATTCCACTTGAGACAGAAGTGTCAAAACAATATTAATGTCAGAGGACATACTGACTCATTTTAAATTACAAAATAATCAACCACCATTTCTGGAAAAAAAATTCTTTGGCAACGTGTAAACCAAATGGGTGCGTAACATATTGTTTATTGCAAGAATGCTATTAACTTGCATAACACCTAGATAAAAGGATTTCTGGATTCAGATTTCAGTGAACTCATAAATTCTTCAACAAACCCTGATGGAAATCTACTAGATCTACAAGTACGGAGATCTATGGTTCAAAGATAGGTGGTTGTAAAGCCCTCTGCGATTCATAATACTGGAAAAAAGTTTAACACATAGGCACAGGTGGTTACCCATCTGGATATTGTGTATGTATTTCAGCGTCAACTACATTTCTTTCATTCATAAATTTACCCCCAGCATCATTCTTCTCCAATCACAAAGCATTCAGAGCTACTGAAGGTAGCCATGTTCCGCAGCTGCTTCATCTGCTTTAGCTCTCCGGTTATGATCCTTGGGGGTCTGGACAGGGTTCTTTTTGTCTTAGGTTTGTTGTTCCTCCTTTCAGGAATGTCATCATGCTGTCAGATGGTGAGAATCCCCAACATCTGGAATTGCTTGAGCCGGGAAAGATGGGTAAATAACAGCATCTAACATGGGTGACAAACTGAGGCGGGAAGGATTTGGCTTCCCTTGTACAGTCTGTAGCTTTTGAATTTATAGCAAGAGTGGAGATAGGGCGGGAGACGCCGAGAGTGTGCCTTTTGGGTTTTTTTCCTTAGAGAACTAGAAAATGTTTCAAGTGGAAGTAATTTGGTGCAGGAAAGTTCCATCTTTTCTCCCCAAATGGGTTGATCCAGGCATCCCAGCTTGGTTCCTATCTTCCCAGAGATAGTTTATCTGGAACACCAAAGTGTGAAATTCCAATATTTATTTGATTTAATGTTCTGGATTTTTTTCTGGATATTTTCCACTTTGTTTCCTCTTATTGTTGTAAAAACTGAGCAAACTGTAGGTAGACATGATCATGTGGTTGTATGCAGAACTGACTGTGAATTCTTGTGCTCGCAGTGGATAAAACAAAATCTCCAGGAGTCGATCCTAAGCAACTGGCTGCAGAGCTGCAAAAGGTTTCTTTGCAACAGGCTCCCATGGAGAAGGGGTCCCACGGGCACTCGGGGACAACATCGGCCACCTCCAGCTCTGTGCCCAGCCCTGGGCAGCCTGGCTCTCCTTCAGTGAGCAAGAAACGGCACAGCACCAAGGTAGGAAGGCGCTTCGCCCTGGGGAGGAATAGATGGCGGGGTGAGAGGCTCTTTTGTTTTCTGCACCATCAGAAGCCGTAGGGTGGCTCATTCGTGACTGCTTTGGAGACTTCTTCTCATGGTGCTCACAGGCATTGTCTACACACAAACACACAACACCCTTTATACACACCCACACACACCGACACACACACACACATACAGACATACAGACATATATACATACCCAAGCTTAAGCCTTGGATGTATTTGTATAGGCAGAAATACTAATTTAATATTGTAGTCTGATAAGAAAAATTCAAAGTATTTAGGTCTTTTTATAAAATAAATTATGGCTATATTAATCTAGAATTCTTAATAAATAAGTCACCTTTGAGACTAGGTATTAAAATCAGAATTACTACAGGAAATATCACCGTTTTACAAAGTTTCATTTCAGCTCTGAATTTTTAGGCCACCAAATGAATAGTTCATTAATCTTAACTGTATACTTTTATGAATGTTGTGATAATTCTAATCCAGTTGTAAAGAGAGGCAAATAACAACCAGTGCTGGTTTATTTGTTTTTAAATGACAGCCTGCTGAAGTCTCAAAGGGGGGTCCCCATCCCATAACCGGAGAAATCCAGGTAACAACCTCATATTAAGTTGTTTACCTTTGTCAAAAAGTATGAAATTAATTGTTGTGGTTGTACTTTGGGATAAGGTAACAATGCAGCAATAGAACAATTTGGATGTTTGATACAGTAATTGGATTATTCAGTAAAACATGCTTTTGTCTTACCTTTGTTAGACCGCACTGCAAATGGGAGGGGGGATGCTGGAGCCAGGGAAATAGGATGTGGTTAGACAGAGGAGGAGGAGGAGGAGGAGGAAGTGGAAGAGGATATTGCAGAAGGCTGCTTCACTGTTGACCACATTCTATTCCTGTGCCTGCAACAGGGACTAATTCTGGTATTTTTTCATGGTTGGGATTAAAAGAAACCCCGTTCTTAGTTCTGTTTCATTCCTTCCCAGAGGAATGTTGTTCCTTCCCCAACTCTGTTCTATAAGGCTCAGCATATATTCATACAGTTTATACATCAATATAAATTAATAGTGCTGTGATCAAGAGCAAAGTTTTAAAAAAATCCTCACTGGAAGCCACCCAGCCTTTTGTCATTCTCATTTGCTTGAAGTGAATTTCTTCTGAGATACTTTAAGGGAAGCTTATAATTTTCACCAATTACTCTAGCTATCAGGGCATAGTGGGGGGTGGGGGAGTTGTAAACACATAATTGGCTTTAAAATGGCTTTATTTTCAGAAGCAGTTCAGAAATAACTAGCATGAATTAATGTTCTCTTTAGCTTCAAATCAACTATGACAAGCAACTTGGCAATTTGATTATTCATGTCCTTCAAGCAAGAAATCTTGCTCCCCGTGACAACAATGGTTATTCTGACCCTTTTGTCAAAGTTTACCTTCTACCAGGAAGAGGGTGAGTAGAGAGACATTTTCACCAATGCAACAATTCTCAGTTTTTCTGTTTTGCGAGAATCCTTTCATGACCACGCAATCAGCATTTCTAGCTTGGGGGGGGGGGGGGGGGGTATTGAATTGTTTTTCCAGGGAGTTTGGTTGTCAGTCTTGTTAATCCCTCTCTTGCCTGATTGTTTCCTAAGTAACACCTCTTTCCTCATCCCACAAGATCAGCCACAGGTTACATTACAATTAATGAAGAGAATTAACGTAAGAAGTGATCTCTGTACATTTTCTGCAAGATGACACAACCTATTCGAGGACGCTTCAAGCTGGCTCCATTCCTGTCCTTCCTGTGAGAGAGAAAAGTTCAAATCAAATCTGCTCACAGAGTGGGAAAAAACAGGATGTTTCTTTTCTCTCTGACAGTGGGACATTGGAATCGGTTTTAGCCATGGACCAGTTAAACCAGGATCAAGCTACAATTCAGCATTCTGATCAGCTATCAGTTTCTCATTCTCAGATACGACAGTTGGTACAAAAACCATAAATAAAATCTTCAAAGAAAAAATAAATAAAGTGATGAATTATAGTATTTATCTATGATTGAGACCTAATAGACCTACATTGCTAATGCTGTTATGGTGGGGCGGAGGGGGGGCTTTCAGTGTGTGTGGGAGGGCATTCCGTTATGATGTGCCCAGACATCTTGTGTAACATTTATTCTTTCCTCAATTTTGAACCTCTTTTGATATATGGTTGGCATCATGTTTTATGTGATATATGGTTGGCATCATGTTTTCTAACCTTTTGCTTCCTGTATCCCTTTTTATTGCTTTTCGATGCCTTGTTTCTTCACCGGGTTTGCAGCCAAGTCATGGTTGTCCAGAATGCAAGGTAGAGCATTCTCTATTCTTTAACTCTTCAAGCTCTGTGCGTTTAAACATCCATCCTGTGTGTACCCCTCACCCCCCGCCCTGCCCAGAATTCCAGGGATCTACAAAGCAGGAAAGAAAACTGCATCCCACCCCCCTCCAAGAATGGCTGATCTGGTTATCGATGGCCAGAGGTGAAATATTTATGATAGGCAACAAATTGATGCAGCAGCTTCTTACGGTACCATTACTGGATTAATTGTGAAAGATCACAACTATTTTGATGTAGCAGAAATAATGATGCACTGTCAATTAATAATTATTCTGAGACAGTCTGTGTCTGGCAAGCATCAGACTAGGAACCGGGAGATGGTGAGTTCTAGCCCCCCCTTAAGCCTGAAAACAGGTTGGATGGCCCTGGGCCACTCATTACTCTCTCTCAGCCCACAAAGTCAGATTTGGGTGAAATGACGGTTCCTGTCACAGCTGGAGGATCAACACAATCTATCTGGCAAAAACAGACCCTGACCTTGTGGGGAAACACTGGGAAGGAAAAAAATAGTAATTATTTTGCTCCAGTTCTCTAACAGGAATTGCTTGCTAGCAAATGCAAATACCATACTGAAAAATAATTTTTATGCATAAATTGTAGTTTTCCATTTTATATCAGGTTCTTTGGGGTTTATGGGATTCTTGCTATATATTAATGTTCTTTAAATTTATTTATATGAAATAATAATTGATCCAATTAAGAGGTGAGATGACCAGCCATGCACATTCCCAGCAGTAAAGGGGCTTGTATTATTTTCAGCCTTGAGAAAACACGTGACAATTTAATCAATATTAAGTTAGTATTTTTATCGTTAGTACAGTATTGATTTGAGTTTTCCTTTATGATTTTCACATTATTCTCCTATGATTAAAGGCAAGGCTAGGAAATGATATGATGTGTTATTTACCTGATTATCAGCTGAGTATATTTTACAGGAAAGCCAGTGCTGCTTCATCATTATTTCATATTATTGTGTAGAAGCAATTTGTAAATACAACATATTCCTTGAATTGTTTTCAGTTGCTTAATAAGATATTTCAAAGCCTCCAACTAGGCATGTTGGCTATTCGAAACTTTAATGTTATGAAGATTAAATATGGAGAATGCTCAATAGAAGATGATCCAATGTCGTTTGACTGTAGGAGCCTGAGAGTTTAGTTCATCAGGTGTGTTAAAACTGTTTATAAATTGGAGCAGCAGGGGATCCATGAAAGTGATGTTATCCTCTGTTCCTTTGCTTCCATTCAGTGTTGAGAACAAGAGAAAGACAAAATACATACAGAAAAGCTTGAACCCTGAGTGGAACCAGACGGTCATTTATAAAAGCATCTTCTTGGAGCAGGTCTGTGGCTAAAGGCGTATTTTGTTCCTGGGATAATGTCCAGAGTGGAACTGTTGCAGAACGGTTTCCCTAATCAGCTCCCCTATCTCCTGGCCGCAGGTGGTTAGTCCATTCCTCTTGGAGCCCTGAGCTCAGACGGACAGGCGAGATGGGGAAAGGCTCCTTCTCTTTTTTTATTCTGAAATAAAGCAATCTTGAATGGGAGGCAGCCCACTTTCCGAAAGGAATTGCACTGATTAAGATAAACAATGCAATGCAATGCCCAGCTTGTCCGACAAAAATGGCCAATTCTGAGTGAAACTAGTTTTGGAGGTTTCCCGGTTTGCCACATTTCAAACTGGGAATTGTTTAGACCAAAAGAAGTAGAACTAATAGAACTAACTGATTATAATTATCTATCAAATAAAAGACCCTATTTATGAAAAATAATCCATTCGTTTCATATACTTACTATAAAATCTGTCTCGTACCCACAAATCATTTTCATACACAGAAATACGCTGCACAAATTCTCTTTTTAACAGGAATGCCGAAAAAGGGATCAAATTGACACAGGTGTCCAAAATGGGATGGGTAGCAGACTTGGAAGGGGAGTAAAAAGAAAGAGGGGGAAAAGGCTGGGTGGAAAAGTTGTTCTTCCTCTTTTCTTGGCATTGGCCACACTCTGCTCGCAGGACGTTGTGTCAAATTGAAAGATATTGACAAACCAGAATATTTTCAGCGATGAGCAGCCAAAAAAGGTGCACGCTCTTCGTAGCCAGAGTGTATCTGGAACAGTCGGATGTGTCAGGTATATTTGTCTACAGGGACACATAATAACCAATTGTTCAAAAACCTGTCAGGCACTGCAGAAGAGGGCAGAGTGGTTCAAGAAGACAGGATAAGAAGCAAATGATAAGAAAGTCATTTTTAGTTGTTCATTAGGAAAACATTCTTAAGAAAAAGCTGTTCAGCAGCGGAGCTAAATTCCTCAGGGCTCTCCCCGGTTTTAATAGCGACCAGGTGGGCCTGTCGGGTAGGAATATGGTTGGGGGGGAATCTCTGCATTGAGCAGAGGGTCAGACTGGAAGGTTCCCAACACCTCTTCCCCACTCGTATGTCCTTTGCAAGGCAGCCTGTGGGAGAAGGGATCGGTGTGTCACCTCAGGATTGCCTGATCTATTCTTCTTCCTTGAATCGCGACACACCTCTCTGAACGTCCGTTATGGCCATTCCCTATTTCCTTTCTGGTTGCTCTGCTTACCCTCTGGCTTGCTTTTATAAATGGGGAAGATCAGTAAATAAACAGATAAATGGAAAACCAAGTTAAATGAGAAGCTTTAACTGCTTTAACTCCCCGTGCTTAAGAAAATGTAGAGAACTGTTCTGGATCAAAATAGCATATATTAGTGGGACGGTATATATTCGCTCCTCTAGGGCAAAGTTATGGAGTATTTGTGGCTGCTATCCTTGCAAGTCTTATGTGATAGTGGTATGTATGTTTATGTATATGTGTATTACACAGTTATAGAAATCTAATAAACCACCAGATTGATTTAAAAGTGCCCAAGTTAAATTGAATATTTAATTTCATGGATTTATTGGATCAAAATGCCTTTCAATCATGTCTTTAAATTAAAATATCAGTTATGCCATGATACCCTTATAAAGTACATTTCCTTTCACCTTCCAAAAAAAAAAACAACATTAAAAAAGAGGTCATGGATATAATCTGTCCAAAGTCCTTAGCCAGAGCAGGAGTTGCATAAGACAACTCCTTACACCATTCCAGATAGCCACTCATATGGTCTATTCTGGGATGCCTCTGGTCAAAGCTTGACCAAATAACTACTCCACTCAGAATTCGTTCCAAAAATCTCCCTCTTGCCCCCCAGGTCGATGTGAAGATAATTATTACTGAGTGGTCACCTTGTCAGTGCATAGAGGGTACAAGAAGGTATTATTCACTGGAGCATATTTTGTGGGCTGGGTGTGAATTGCACAATGAGAACTAAAATTTATTATCTTTTGCAGCTGAAAAAGAAAACTTTGGAAGTCAGTGTCTGGGATTATGATAGATTCTCTTCTAATGACTTCTTGGGTGAAGTAAGTTTGCTATTTTCCTTAATTTTTTTAAATTTTCCCTTTCCCCAGACGACAATACAATTTTGACTGATGGTGGCTTGCTGACATTGGTGGGAAAGTCGGTCCCACGCTCACAAGACTGGCCCTTTGGTCATCCTGGAGCAGCTCCTCTGGTCCATGGCAGGCCGGTGCACCCAGGTGGAGGAGCAGCTGCTCCGAGATGACCAAAGGGCCAGTCCTGTGACTACTGCAGCTCTGGAATATGGGACCGACTGTCCCACCAATGTCAGCAAGCCACCATCAGTCAAAATTCATATTAGTGGTCCACGGAGTTTAAAATTACGAGTTTGGTGGTCCCTGAGGTCCAAAAGGTTGGCGACCCCTGGTCTAGAGAGAGGCCTCACGACAGAGACAGACGCACAGTAATGTATTGTGACATTCATCCATTTAGTAAATCATGGATATCATTGTTTTTGGCTTAGCCCAAAGTGCAAACCCACTTATTAGGGTTTAACTGTACATTAACAAAGCCATCATAGCAATTACTCTTGTTTCTTTTCAAAAACTGACTTAGCATTAGGCTGTAAAGTTATAAGCAAAGTATGATTTCCATTGATTTTGAGTTTAAGACCACCCTCCATGTTGTTTTCATGCCAAGAATAAGGAGATAGTTTGCCATTGTTTCTTTTGGGGTGCCTTTCAACTCCCTGTAAATCCTGCAGCTTGGCTTTTTCCAAAGCTTCTTGTCCCAATCCCAGTTCCAGTCATTCTTACTCTCTGATCGTAGAGAAGGTTCTTCTAAGAATGATTGAAACATTTAAATTTTTTGAAATGGGTTATGAAGTTGCATCTTATCAATGAAGTTGCTCAAGTATCATTCCACTCATACATCCTGGGTAATCTTCTCCTAGCCCTTAGGAACTGTTATAGATTTAAAACATAAACATTCATATTTTTCTAAAAAATTAAATGAAATATAATATATAAAACTACAAGATTGTATAATAACAACACAATGTGGTGAAGGCTGAAATCATTGCTGTGTTGCCCCTTTATTTTATACAACTTGGGGTGAGTGGGGTGATCTTAATTTATACCTAAGAATCTGCATCAGAATGTAGAATGTTTGATCATTGCTACAAATTATGAACTATTTATATTTTATTTACTTTTTTAATATATTGCCACTCCTGTATGTTAGAAAAGTTGTTTGAAAAACATTAATCTGTAATTGAAAAAAATCTGAAACGTAAAAAATTTCAGACCCGATTGATTTTATCCTGAGCCGAAATAAAAGACAAACTGACATGAAAGATGTTTTACAAAGTACTTTTTTTTAAAAAAAAATCTCATTTTTAAAGAAGGTGAAATTCTGAAGGAAATACTCAGAAACTTTGAGATACCTCAAAGGGTGCGTTGGAAATGTCTATATTGTCTTCTACTCTGGTTGAAGCCATAATCTGTTGACCATACTGTCAGCTGATGCTCCGTTCAAAATCCAAGAAAGAAATACTTAGACTCTTGTAATTAGAGAAAAGATATCTTTTACTGGAAGTTAGTGGTAGCAATGAGAAAATTCTGAATCTGGGGAAATAGGCACGTACATCACATATATCAAGGGAGTGAAATGTTCCCACCCCCAATAGTTCAAACGGTTCTTCCAATTAAAAGTTGTGAACTTTATCATGGGGACATCTCCAGGTGGTGATGATTAGTTGACCTTGGCTTACTCAGATAAAGGTTTGCAATTGCGCAGAGAAGAGAAAGCTAAGCAGGAATGAGAAACCCTCCCCAGTTTATACAATATCAGTTATTAACACTTTCAACACTTTCCACCCCCCGTTACTCATGGCAGCCAGAAAGAAGCAAAGGAAAGGAGGAAGATCTTGAAGGCTGACACATACCTGCAATTCTTAAAACAATCCCTCTGAGAAAAAAGAGCGGTTCTTTCTCGCAGTACTTTTCTCTCATCAGGGGTTTCCTCAAAACTGTCAACCATCACTCCACAGCACAAGCATGAAGGAAGGAACTCAGACCCTCAAAGATCTCCAACTAGGCTCTTTTTCTTCTTTCCACTTTTAGATTTTTTTAAGTGCCCATCTAGTGCCCTATAACCATCTCCATTTGTGTTACCATTCCTTCCTTCCTTCCTTTTTTCTCTCTCTCTCTTTCTTTCTTTTCCTCCCCATAATGTCTTCCCCTCTAACACAATGTAATTTCTAATCTCCTGAAATAAGGACCTTGCACACAAATACTGAACAATCATCGGAACAGGAATGCTGTATAAAACGGGTTTGGAGTGTTGAGTGTTGAGATTTAGTGCACCCAGAATAGTTCTGCTTTTACAGAGCTGGAGGTTTGCTGCTCTTTCTGTCTCTGCCTAGGTCTTAATTGAGCTCTCCAGTGCCTCTCCCCTGGATAACACTCCCCGCTGGTACGCTCTGAAGGAGCAGAGTGAAAGCATTGAGCACGGGAGATCCCACTCAGGGCAGAGTAGCCAACCGTCTCCGAAAACGTCAGTCATCAAGAGTAGAAGCCATGGTATTTTTCCTGACCCATCAAAAGGTAAGGTTTCCACCCCACACACCCCTCTTTGTGGGCAGCAGGGTAGGTTCTCCTGGCAACCTCTGGCTTTATGGACCATTTGATGTGAAATCAGAGGAGAAGCACTGTGGGTCCCCTAGCTTAGCCAGGAAGTTATTTCCGTTCTTAAGTATGATGGAGAAATAACCTTAAGATATTTTTAAGTTGAGAGAGAGAGGGAGAGGAAGAGGGAAAGAGAGCAGGAGGGAGGGAGGGAGGGAGGTGGGGGGGAGCACTCATAGGTAAAAGGAGAGGAGGGGGAAAAGGTTTCTTCTAGGTTTTGCCCTTCTTAGGAGGGTAGAACCTATTGGAGCCCCTCCTGAGCACTTGGCCCCTCCTTTACCCAAGCAGCCGATGGAGGCGCTGGGGGCCGTAGGGTGGGGGAAAGGAGGCTTTAAAAGAGAAGCAAGGAAAGGCATCCCACACTCACTTTGGAAGCGATGGGGAATGAATAGAAGGTGGCCTCCATTTTGGCCGATACAGTTTACAGCCCGTTCTGGCCATGAGGCATTCAGGGAGTAAAGCTCAGCCCCAGAAGACTTAAGTTTGGCTTCCAGAAGGTCTTGTTTCTAAACTAATTCCTGGCAGGAACTCATGGATTGCCTTGCACCAGTCATTCTCAGCTTCAACATAGCAGTAGGAGCCGTGTCTTATTTCACAGGCGTAGAATTGCCACAGGACAAAGCTGACCAGGAACACGGCCACACAAAGGCTTTGCCCTGGAGTTTAAAAGCTCTCCAGAGGCTGCGGAGACCCCATAACAGGGGCTGTTAAGAGCCGATTTGCACTGGAGCCAGGGGCAAAGTAGAGGAACCTACAGCGGTACAAGAGTCACCCATTTTCCAACCTTAACTTCACACCTTTGAGGAAAGAGGGGGCTTTATAGCTTTGAATTTCCTTCTCTTAGGAACTACTGGGGTCTTTGCAAATGTCCAGACTGCGCAGGTAGCACATGGACATGGGAGCGGGAGTTTGTTTCTTCAGGGTCTGTGGAAGATTAGGGTTGGGCATTATTCTCTGCTTCTTATTCTCAACCACACAGCAAGGTAAGAGGAGGAGGAGGAGACCCCACCTGTGGTTTTCAGTCGAGGGATGACGGTGTACAAGACGTTCTCTTGCATATATAATCTCTCTGTGGTTCTGAGGTGGGTGAAGGCTAATGTGCTGTATTCCCAGTGTTTTTTCTCTGACAATTCTTGGCCAGATATGCAGATGCCCACCATTGAGAAGTCCCACAGCAGCCCAGGAAGTTCCAAATCTTCCTCCGAGGGACACCTGCGTTCTCACGGACCATCTCGCAGCCAAAGCAAAACCAGTGTAACTCAAACTCACCTTGAAGATGCTGGGGCAGCCATCGCTGCTGCTGAAGCCGCCGTCCAACAGCTCCGCCTCCAACCAAGTAAAAGACACAAATAAAATTCCTCAGCATGGCAGCTTAATTCTCATCTGTGGCCTTCTCCCACCCTTCTCCCATCTTCCTGCTTGCCCATCTTCCCTGCTGTTGGCCTTTCCTTTCCGCTCTGGGCACACTGTGCATCTCTCACCTGTTCAGTATTCTGCCTGTTTGTGTGTAAATACATAGAAATACAAGATAATCTCCTTTTCTACTGATATATATATATATATATATTTATATATAGAATGCCACTAAACTGGTTGTTTTTCCAGCATGTTTCCCATTTGCTCGGTATGTCATGATCCTGCACTTCTTATGGGAAAGGTTTGCAGTGTTTTGTTCCTTTGGTGTCACTAAATGCCTCAACTAATTTAAATCTTATATACTTTGCTTCCAGCTCTACCCCTACCTGAGAATTGTGGAAAATTTATAAAAAAACAGCACACTAAATTTGAAAAGCAAATGGGGTAGACCTATTGTAGAATATCAGAATTTGAAAACTAAAATGAAAGAACATATTTGGTTCAGTTTTATACTAGTAAATGTTCTTTCCTTTGGACAAAATTATTTTTTTAGAAACAACATCCTTGAAATGTTTTCTTCAACCAATGATAATATTGTACAACCAGACAGAAATTCATTGGCTGTAATTAAAATTAAATACTGGCTTTATTATCGGTGTAATCATTAGCCCTATATTATATGGGGGGGTATAAGAAATGTTAATTAGCAATGAGGCTTGACAATTGCAGCTGTATTTCTGTATTTCACCACGGGTAAATCATTCTTTCGTGGAATTACAGGTTGAGGATTTAGTGTGTGGCAAATTAGTGTAATCCAACTGTGGCAACTTTTGCTCTCCCGTGACAATTGGTGTCCAGCCACTGTTGCATAATGCAAAAGGCAGGAAATCAAATCCTCCATGTCTTCTTTATCCTTTTATTTTAATTAAAAAGAAACAGCCAGTTTAATTACCATTTACTGCTCTTTGTGTGTGATGTCTCTTTGGAATTCAAAGAAACTTTGCCTATTTAAATGCAGAAAAGAGAACCTCCCTATTTCTGTTTGCATGACTAACATTTAAGCTGGTTCCATCTGAGGTACACATTGTGGGTTTCCATTTCACCCATAACTGCCACAGCAGCCCATAAAAGCGGTCAGTCTAATCATGCAAGGAAGCTGCACAGACACAGCATAGCGGGAGTCCTCCCCATTCAAAGAACTCAGTCTGACAATCTGCCTCCACCAGCCAGTGACAACAAAGAGCAAAGCCAACTAGCCCTCAGGAAAGTGATGTCCGATGGACCCTTCAGCCCTGAAGGAGGTGAGCAGAAAGACACCCCGCAGAGGGATCCCTGGCCTGAACCAAAGGCCTTCTGGCTGGGCCCGCTAACTCATTGCACGGTGAAGTTGTTCCTCCGCTTGCGGCCTCCGATATTCCACTGGGTTAAAAGAGGTTTAAGATTTCTTAGTTGCCAAAGCTCTGGTCTCATAAGCTCTGGTTGACATCGACCCTAATACAAAGAGCATCCCTCCTCCTCCAAAACTCCAGGGCATCATGCTGATATTGCCAACTAAATGGCAGGCGTTTATTTTGAACCCCTTAAGCATGATTAAACCATTTTTTGTATAACTAAAGTCTATGGTGGCACACAGGAATTACAACATGGATGCCTTGTTATTGTTTTGTTGTGTCGGTGCTATCACTTTGACATATGCTGTGTATTCTGCTGTGAAAAATCTTACCTTTCAAAAGAAATTTTTTTCCTGGAAGTTGAACAGGGAGACTCAATGAAGGCAGCTGCTGAATTCCATCCAGAGGATGTTCGTTTGTTCATGGTAGACAAGCGGAGCTGGGACTTAGCTGGTTTCCCAGGTCTTTTGTATCCGGTTTGAAAAGCGGGTCTTCTGCCATTCCAGGAGCCCAAACGGCCTGAATAAACAGGAGGTGCAAATTCTCCTCCTCTTGGCTGCCTTTATTTAACCAGCCTCTTGAGTGTCCACTGAGAAGAGCCATGTCCTTCTCACTCAGTAAGAGGCTGGCTGTGAACTGCCAGGTCGGTTCTGTGCTATTGCCATATGCGGCAGCTGCTTTTCCCTTTCCGCTTTGTGTGGCAAACCTCTATACAGAGGAGTGTCTGAGGACAATAAACCATTCAGACATGTAAAGACAAACACGGGAATCTAATGTTCAGCATTTTCAAACATTATTTAAGATCAAATAAAAAAGAAACTGTATTTTCTGTTTCATATTTCTGCTGTGTAATTATGTTAATATTCATCCAGGTTTTTTAATTCTATGTAAAATTTAATTGTTGGGTTCAAAAATTTCTTAAGCATACTAGCATTCCAGCTACTGAGGTACCTGGACTGTGCAATTTTGTCAATGCACATTTCACCTGTATATAATACCAAGCAAAAACTCTGGGTAAGTCCTAGTCAAAATGTACCGGAGCAAAATCATTAAAACAACCATTATAAATAAACCAGCTTTATTCCTTTTTAGCCAATGCTTTCTAATAAAACATCTTCCCTATTATTGTCAAACCATGGGTTATTCTGTGGTGTCAATTTCTCATGTGATTCTAGTGCAAATCTTATACATTAATAATCAAATATATGTAGCAGCTTCGAAGGCTGCAAGCAAATAATCCCCAATTAATATACCTAAAGTCTAAAACTTGCCAAGATTTCAAAAGGATCACACATATTTCTAATTTGGCCCAAAGAGAGCAATATTCACATACATACAAAAATCTCATTTCACAGGAATATAGAAATTAACAAGAGAGCCCAGTAATAAATTGGAATGCCTGTCAAATCAATGCCACCATCTTCATACAGCAACCTCTGTATGAAGACATTTAAGGGCTTTGGGCATTTTCTCTGAAATGCTTCTTTATTGATTAATTTCACTCCCACCTTCTCCCATTCTGGCATCTCCTAAAAGGCCCCTTCGCTAACAGGCACCCCTGTTGCTCCTTCGCTCTCCCCCCACCCCCACTAAGAGATTTCGGAGGTCAACCTTGGTTGCAAAGCAGCCACAGCCATCCCTATTGAATCCGACAGCCCAGCAACTCGGGTCTTGCTCTGGTAGAGGCTGTCTTATGGTACAGAGAAACCCGCAGCCAGGTACTTTTTCTGCTTGAAATGATCTTCTTTTTGGCAAGCCAGTTCAACACCTGGTGTTTGCCAGTGACTCAAGCCAGATCTTGAGCGACCTCCAGAAAATAAAGGGAGGTGGAGCTGAGGGGGCCTCAGGACAAGATTGTCCCCTCATTGCTCTATGACTTGATGTTTCTAGAGTTCCTCACTTCGGCTGCAGGGACTATTGGCGGCTTCCATGCCTCTCTTCCCCAGCTGAATGACCCCTCGCCTCTCCCTCCTCTCTGCAGGGGTGGCCAGCTCTCCCTGGCCATGTTGGGGTCAGATCCTCTTCTCGCTTTTCTTCTTTCCATGAAGGTTTTCTCTATTCTTCTATTCTATTTATTCTATTTCTCTAGAATAAAAAGGCCTGATATTTAACACAAAAGATTAAGAAAATAGATGATAAAAAAGTAAAGTTTTAGGAGGGTTGCTCCCTTCTCTCCCTTTTTGGCTACCCCTCCTGGATTTGGGGTCATTAAATGGGTATTATTTCCTTAGATCATTTTTGGGAAATGAAATTAAACAGTTATGTGCAGTTTTAATTAGTGCTGAAGAAATATATTCAAGGACTGAGTAAAAATACGAACTATATAATAGCTGATATTTAACTGATAGACTTCAATCAAATTGGCCACTTACTGCATTTTTAACAGTTGTTGTTCACTATTGTAATCTTTGAGCTACTTGAATTAAAAAGACTTAGTTCTACAATGGCATCTTTACTGATAGATTAATGTTGTTTAAGTATCCAATAACTCTGAGGAGATTATGGGAGAAATGTGTTGTTTGGCTAAAAAAGCCTTCTGTCAGAGCCCCAGTTAACATAGCCTTCCGCCTTCAGCTAAGCTAATGTCAAATTCTGTAACTGCATCTCAATTACACCCAGGTAGCCCACCCAGAAAAGGTAGGGCAAAACCCTAAAGCCAAAATTCAGCACAAGGCAGGAGAATATTGTGAGAATACTTCCATTCCCTCTTGCAAATAACCAGATCTTATTTAGATTAGTTAGGGTTTCATCCACTCAGCCAACCGGTGGGATCCAATCCCTGTAACTCTTTCTACTCCATGCAGCCAGGTCTACCACCAACCACAGGCCAGGAGAAAGCTCGGTGTCTTCCACTGGCTCATCAACCGGAACCTTTGGCAGCGGGTACAGTGTGGACAGTGAAGGAAGCAACGGCGGCAACAACAACGCCGCCACCACCACCACTACTACCACCACCACCACCGGGGACCTTTTCCCCATTCCAAGAATGTATGGGCTTTTCCTTTTATCATTTACTGTGTTTTCCCTAATCACTGAGAAAAGAGTAGACTAGCTCTTCAGAGCTCAGGAAGCAGCTGCCTTCCCTTCTGCCGAATCATTCTGGGCTGCCCTCCTGTCCCATTTCCAGCCTCTGGGTCCCCTCAAGGACAGCAGGAACACTCTTGAGAGAGTCCATTGAAGTCTGTGTGGGGACTGAAAGCCGTTTCTTCCATTGGCAGCGGCACTCGACCCAACTTGGTTAATCTTAGAAGTTAAGCAGCCTCATAGCGCCACTGGCTTTGGCTGGTGAGGTTAACAATATGCAGTGGTCAAACTTTAAAGCTGTAGGGATGTCTTCGTTGCTGTCCAGTAGTTACACATCAGACCAGATATGGTAGCTCTCAGTGTTACCTTTTATTGAACGCAGCTGCCTTTTTCAAATGGGAATCAAGAGGCTTGCATATTTTTTTACTATTCTACTTGCTTCTCTGTGATCAATTGAACAGATTTTTTTTTGTATTCTGTATATTTATATATTTATACATTTACAGAATCACCTTTGTTAATAGCAGACCCACCTATGTTTTTCAACAGAGGAAAGATGAGCCAGAATGGACAAGAAGCCGTGAAGCAATCAGGGGTGGGATTAACAGAGATTGAAGGTAAAGTGTCTGTCTCAATTCAAAATGAATTATCTAGGAGTCTGTAAAAATATTTGTTGCTATTCTATTCATCTAAATGCTATTTTTCTAAAAAAAAAAAAAAAAGCTCTGCTTTATTGTAATCAAAAGTGCTATGATGGTAGCAATGATAGGCCTTTCAGTGTAAACAACCTAATGTCAGTAGGCAAATATTATTATTGAGAGTTTTGCAGTGATAATTCAGCGGCAGAAAAATAAACACAGATGGCTGAGGCTTCATTTAACATCTTTATAAACATAATAAGATTTTACAAACCAGTTGTAGATTTCTCCAACATGGAGCAAACTCAAACAGAAACATGTTGCAACTTCAGAGCAGAGCCCCAGTCTTCAGCATGCAAGCAAGTCAGTTTCATCTTCAATAGACAGACTCAGAGCTCAACGTAGCTGCAGAGTTGCAGAACTTAACATCTAGCCATGCCTAGGCTACTTTTACTTTCAGTTTCCAGCCTAGGCTAATTCTAGTTTCAGTTTCCAAAAACAGTCCTCATTGGCTGACTTAGTTGCTGTGCCTATTCATTGGCTGACCTTGTTACCAAGCTCTATTCCAGTTCATGAATATACTCTGACAATTATTCAATGCCAAATGCTAAATTGCATGCATCTCCAATTAGATGGTGAGAAAGGGGACAATTCATCCCATCCAGTGATGTACAAGGATAATCAAATCTAGTGTAGGAAATTAGTTAGACTTGTAGACTGTATATCCCTATTGGGCTTAGCCCCCACTGACACATCTGGGAAGCTTTGGCCCTCACAATAAGGACAGGGCAGGAGAGGGCCACCTTGTGCTCAGTCCAGACAGCTGCTTCTCACAAGGAGGATCCAGGGGAAGGGTCTCCCACAGGGGGTCAGTGCTGGGAGATGACAAGAATTGCCATCTTGCTTGCAAACTGTTTATTAACTTCTTGCAAGCTATTAGAGAGCTTTAGAATGACAACTTTGAAAATGCCCGGTGAATTTGCCTTCAATCCTGAATGAAATGAAATTTTAATCATAAATTTAAAGATTGAAAGACTTTGAAATAAATTACAAAAAGCTAAATAAGATTTTGATCTTAGGAAGTTTAAACAGACTAAGGATGCAGATAAAATTAGAATATAGAAATTTTTACAATAAGATTTTTCAATATTAAAAAAAAAAAACAGCTTCTCATAGGAAATAAATTTGGTTTTTACAAGCCATAACAAAGATAAATACATTTATAGTTTCAAAAAATAGACACTAAAGGGGGTTAAAGACTCTACGAGAGGGGGGGAAAACACAAGCCAACTTTTTCTTAATTAACTGGGACTTAAATATGCAAAACATTGTAACACTGAAAATATTAAAGGAAAGATTTGGAAAAAAAAATTAATAGGCACAATATCAATAGTGTCAGTCATGTTGTCTGCCTCTATGGATAGATTTTTGTCCAAAACATGACATTGAAGAAATGACAAGTGTGGGATAAATTTTATTTGACCAGATAGTGATGGTTGCACAAGTGATATATGGAGTGGACTTTAAAAGGAAGTCCAAGAATGACTTGGAAAAGAAGTCTCACTGGATATACAACAGAAATGGGACATCAAGGAAAATACAAATGATAAACCAAGAAAGTGACCTGGATAATTTGTTTTATTTCCAAAACAGAGTTGCTAAAATGGTCTGGGTAGAAATGTGATGAATGGATAGATATCTGAAGAAACCAAATCCTGCAGCAATATTTAAATGAGCTAAAGGTTAAGATAAAGGATTGTAGAGTTGGTTTACTTGATTAAGATTAAAACAAGTCATATTGTTACTTTTGACAAACTTTTGTGAACTTTCTGCTGACCCGGGGGATAGAAGAAATGTTGTTTTATGGACTTGCTCATGAGATAAGGGGTGGGATATGGCATAAAGAGATAATTTTTGGTAATGGAGAAAGGTGAAATTTGTGTATACTTGTGATGAAGGTTGGAAGTCGCTTCTCTACAATTTCTTTTCTATTTATTATATTTTTGATGTTCTCATTCTTTTTCCTTTTTCCTTTGATTACTTTTTCTGCACCAAATTCTGGGAGGTCAGGGATAATCCAGCAGAATAGCAACATTTCCTTTCAGTAATTTTGCTTTTTTGTTTTTATTATTACAGGTAAAACTCAGGTGATGGGTGAAATAAAGATTGCCTTAAAAAAGGAAATGAAGACCGATGGAGAACAGTTAATAGTGGAAATCCTGCAATGCAGGAATATAACTTACAAGTTTAAATCTCCAGATCATTTACCAGGTATCATTTGTTCATGAACTGGTATTTATAAATATACATACATACATACATACATACATACATACATACATACATACACACACACACACACACACACACATACATACATACATACATACTGTCATGCCCCTGGTGGAGACTGATTCTGAGGAAGAGGAGGGACAGTCAACAGGGAGTGGAGGTGTGGCTCCAGAGGTGGTGGAGGCGGCTGGGGAAGGGCAGAGGCCGGCTGAGCAGTCAGAGGAGGATCCAGGCCCATCCCCTCTCCATCCTAGGTCACGCAGGGAGGAGAGGATCAGGGAAAAGTGAGGTCTACTCAAGAGGAGATTACCATGATCCTCCTCGTGGCTTGCAGCTGGGAGCTATGTATATAAGTTTGCAACTGCACAGTTAGAATTGCTGAAGTCAGTTAGTGTTCACCTTGAAAGAGGTTTATCTTTGTTGGCGTTCTTCCCATGGACTTTTCTCAGCTATTTTCCTGGAATTTATAATTAGTTATCGCGGCTTGCTTTGGAACTCTCATCAATGCGGTTTGTTTTGGTTTTCTGTTTGCCTCCTTATTTACTTTTGTGGCTTTAAATTGTACCTAATAAAACAGTGAAGTTAAGTTGAAGGCCTTACCGGACTTTAATATATGTTTTGGGTTTTGGGTTATTTTGAGAGACTATCGGTCATCACACATACATACATACATACATACATACATACATACATACATACATACATACATACATACATACATGTTATCTGGCCCTTGTTTAGTGCAGGACCCACTGACTTTTTCCTATCCTGACAAATGTCAATCATTCAAGAGTTTCTAGAGCTTTTTGAAGGACCACTCACCTCCTCAGCTTTGTGTCACCTGTAGATTTTTCAATGTCCTCTCAGAGCAAACCTAGGACAGAACTTAGTGGCACTGTTAGGGTTTTGGAATTAACCCCTAGAAGAGTATTGCAGCAGTAGT